AGAGTGTCCCACAAGACTGCCCTACAAGAGTGTCCCACAAGAGTGTCTTACAAGAGTGTCCCACAAGTGTCCTACAAGAGTGTCCCACAAGAGTGCCCTACAAGAGTGTCCCATGAGAGTTTCCTACAAGAGTGTCCCACAAGAGTGTCCCACAAGAGTGGCTCACAAGAGTGTCCCACAAGAGTGTCTTACAAGAGTGTCCCACAAGAGTGTCCTACAAGAGTGTCCCGCAACAGTGTCCCACAAGAGTGTCTCACAAGAGTGTCCCACAAGAGTGTCTTACAAGAGTGTCCCACAAGAGTGTCCTACAAGAGTGTCCCACAAGAGTGTCCCACAAGAGTGTCCCACAAGAGTGTCCCACAAGAGTGTCCTGTAAGAGTGTCCCACAAGAGTGTCCTACAAGAGTAACCCACAAGAGTTTCCTACAAGAGTGTCCCACAAGAGTGTCCCACAAGAGTGTCCCAGAAGAGTGTCTCACAAGAGTGTCATTTGGACATATGTAGCTGTTCGAACGTGTTTGCATTCGGGTTCGTGGGCTCCATCTTGTTCAAAAGGTGGATCGGGTTTTGGTACTGTTCAAACCCTTGGAAAAAAGCATGGGTTGTTCGGGATTCAGGCTATTTAGGTACATAGTGATTCGACTTCGTCCAGGGTCAACCACTTCTACACGTGAACACCGATTCGTCGATCAGTGGACTCTTCCAGAACTCCTCCAGGCCCAACCGTGCGCTGCCGCAGCCGTGCCACGTGAACCAACCGGTCGTCGTGCAGAGACACCCACTGTGACACCATGTGCATTCCACCACCTGGGTACAGTATGCCAGCCATGTTTTCCTTTGGAGAAAGAAGAACCATATTGGAGTACATGGGAACACTGCGGCACTTTTGGAGTGACAGAGGTGCAAGGAGAACAGAACTTGAAGGAAACAACAGCAGGAAGGCGACGCAAGCAACTCGAACCCGCACTCCCCCCGGCCAGGAGTACTGAGACGAGGCGAAGAAAAGAAAGCAACCAGCAAACATTCATCCCTGGCGAAAAATAAAGAATGCACGACTTGTGCAAGAAACGGGGGTGAAACTTATGGGCGCAGCGGCGTCACAAAAGGCAAAGGTAGGCTGCAATGACTGAATCTGCAACGCAGCTGCGAAGAGAGGTTGCCCCAACACAGCTGCGTGATGTTAACGATTCCTTAGTAGCTTCCTCAGTGTGCACACCTTAGCAAACAAAGTCCTGACCAATATCCTTACACACAGGTGGCCATAAAGGCCACCTCTGGAGGCTGCTTCCCCGGTTTTGACCGAGGCGCTGCTTGGCGCAGGCCCCGGGCCGCGTTGGAGGTCCACGGAAAGTCTGACTGTGAGGTCGTGCCATGTGGACCCACTTAGTCGTTGCTCTTTGCGGTCGACAAGGGCGGACATGGTTTGCAACAGACGGCGGGTTTCATCGGAGAGTCCTCCGGTGCTTTCGAGGATCAACGGTTCAAAACCCAAGTTTTGTTGTTCACAGCGGGTTTTCATGTCGGAATGTTCTCGTTTCAGATCGGCATATCGGTCAGCAGCGGCAAGCGCACCAGCAGTAGAAGCCCGCAGGGTAGCACTTTGGAATGGGGAGGTGACAGCGCAATCCAGGGCGAGCTTGGGGAAGCGGCGCCAAGACGACCGGGGGACGTCGGGCAGACTGCGGAGATGAGGGGCGGTGGGGAGGAGGTTGTCGGGTTCCAGGACGGGGCGGGCACCAGCTCGGGCAGCAAGACGGTACACAACGTTTCAAAATGCGGTGTGCATCTGTTGTTTGTGTCCTTGACCCATACACCCCATACAGTGATGTCCCTGCGCGTCAAGATTTTGGTGACAAAATGAACAAGCCAACCCATCATCAAAGACCTTAACTCCCAACCGCATGGAAATGGTGTCTTGAAATGCAGCGTTGGAAAGAAAAGTTTCTTGACTCCAAGATGGCGGTGTCTTCAGCCATGCATCAGCGAGGGGCGCCGAGTAGGTGGTCAAGCGAGCTTGACCACTGAGGTCGTGTTGCCCTACCTGCACCTGTTGATGGATTCGCCTAAAACATCAAACGCTGATGTTTCGAAGTTGTGGATTTCGTCTGCCCCCACATGCGACGAGTCCGTTAGGCCAAAGAACTCCGTCTTGTGCTGGAGAGAACCTTCCCTTGCCAGGCTCCGGACCTCGGAAGTCTGGCCCCCGATCATCAGTCTGCAAAGCTCCGGGTTCTTGAAGGAGCCGAGAGCCACTTCGCAGAAGTCTGGTCCCAGTGAATCCCTCACTTGGTACGCGTGGGTAGACAAGTACTGCGAGACCACCTTCATAACCGTCCAGGACCTCTCGTAGGCCTCTTCTACTGCAACCACTCGAGGCTGGAGGTGGTGATATGAGCCAAAAAGGCCCCGAAGGCCAATCGGGATGATCGACGACTTTCCACCTCCCATAGGGAAAACCGCGATAATGTTCATCTCCTCCGGCCCAATGAGGTTCTCGCAAACATCCGTCATCCGCTTGGCCAGATTCTCCTCCTCCAAAGGGGGATTCTGAACTCCCGACATGTTCACAGCCCGGAAAAAGGTCATCCAGTACTTCATCAGCGCCCCTTGTTTGACCTTCCCAGAGAATTCCATCATCCCTGAAACTGGAATCCATGGCCGGAGAGCTTTCGCCGACGGAGTATCCATCTTCTTCTCCTGCTCCCATCTGCACAAACGTCCGTCGCACCTTCGTGCAGAAACTTCAAGGCTTCTTTGCTCATCCACGGATCGTCTTTCTTCGTCGTCACCAAAGATTTCAGCACCACCAGCCCGGCCCCCACCGATCCCCTTGCCCCGTGGCACCGCTCCAGTACTCGGCAGCGGCCTCGATGGTCTGCAGCAGCAGTTCACCCACCGAGGAGGTGACGTAGCAAATGGCCATCACCAGGTGAATCCTCTCGCAGCTTCGCAGCTTGGTGCCGCCGGCGGCGACCCGAGGTGATCCGAGGTTCGCAGAACGTGCCGAGTCAGTCGACGGTTCCCGCGGTCGACTGGGTGGAACCAGTGCCATTGGGCGAAGACTCGTCCACCAAAGGCGAAGACCGCCCACGCCAATGGCTTGGAAGGATGGGCAGTTTTGGATCAGTTGTTTCTGAATATCTTATACCAGCACCACCCAGTTTGGGTGGTTGTTAGGTGGAAAATAGATAGTCAGGGGGGTCTATAAACCACCCGACATGGGTGGTGCTGGACCCACAGGTTGCACCACAAAGACCGGACCATCCAGTTTTAGGAGGAACACCGTGCCGGACCGGATAGCAGAACTGGAGGGAAACCAGATTGCTTGAGATTTTGGGGATGCACTGATGATGCTTTCAAACGGCCCAGCGTGTTTTCAGTTCGCGTTCCCAAATGTGGATCCCCGCCAGTTTGCATTTGGATCTAAAGTGTCCAAAAAGTGGTTTATATGGATCCCCATCCAGACATCTCAAGGTGTCAGTGCCATCTACTTTGAAACCACTGTATCTTCTCGAATTCTGATCTGCGGCATTCACCTACCCAAACGTGTAAATGAGACCTTTCACCTTCCACGGCTAGACGTCTTGACTGACGCTGAAAGGATGACTTGGCTTCATGGGCAAAACGCGCCCAGGAAGACTCGGATGACGGAGTTTGAACGAAGACCAGTCCCAGGTGGTGCCATCCACGAAGCCATTTGTTTTCTTTTCAGACGACGTGTACTCCATCTCTTCTGAAGCAAGAGGTTCCCGCTGACTTCAAACGACCAACATCAGGATGAAGCAGTGGCCATATGTAGACTATTGTAGACTCCAAATGGGAGGTTTTAGTAAGCAACAGTCTCCACTAGAGGATGACTGAATGAGAAGGTGAACAAAAGATTGATGCACAAGCATACACCATCAATTGCATGTCTAGATCGCCGCGCCCGCCCAAAGCATGAATGCTTCAAAGGATTACTGGACCCGTCTGGTCCTGTTCCAACCAATGGGTGCTGGAGTAGTTGCACACTGCTCCAACCAACGGGTGTGTCACGGTGTCTATGTCCATCGGGTCTCCGCCTCCAGTGGGTAGTTTGGTGTTTGGATTTTTGCCGTTTCCCGGTCTGCCGGTTGGGGGAAACGCACACCCTGGACACCCTGGAGGTCTCCCTACTCAAAATTCACACAGGTCCCACTTGGGGATGTGTCAAAAGGGGACCCACCACTGTGCTTGAGTGCTTGAACATCAACGAAACATGTTCCACTTCTGTGAGTCCGTATGTGCAGTTACTCCAATGCTACTACTATTGCCTTTTGCCGGGTTCCTTTCTTGGTCACGGTTCTGCAGTCTTCCCACCTCGTTCATACGAATCGGACGATTCCACGTTCCGGTTCAAAGGGAATTCACCGGCGAGAACCCAAGGGGTTCAAAGGTGAAGGCTTCTTCTCGAAGTCTTCTGATCGTGGAAGCAAGCTAAAAGAATGCCTCCAATGCGAATTGTCACTGGAATGGGATGATGTGATGTCCGGACAGAAAAATAACGTCGCTCAGCTTGTATCATGAGTGGGGACGCGGACCGCCACCATGTCAAGGTTATATTAAGCCTCTTTGATATGCTGTGCATGGGCTCAAAGGCTGCAGTGTTTCTGTCGATCCTGGCTTGTACTATCAAAACCTGCGGGATCATTTTCGTCTCCATTCCACATCCCCTTGATGAAGGTGATTCCGTTTTGTGGGATGATATCCAAGTACCTATCCGTCATTGCAGAATGGTTGAATTTGTGAATCTGCATCCCTATTGATGATGTTGGGCCATTTCGGGCTCCACGACGCATGCATCAGTGATGATGGAATTGATTGCCATGATTGTTTTCCACGGCTTATGCATGTGCGAAGCCATATTTCGCTCGAGTGAACTTGAAGTCTTGAAAAAAAACTGTGCCCCAATCCTCACTCATGGCTGTGCCAGCCATACTCTTCCACCCAGCAACAACCCCCCAAGCTCAGTTTGGCCCAGTTCGGTGGGTGAAGGATCAGCTCCTGAGGCAAAGGCCCCGCAAGAAGGGCTTCATCAGTCCTGAGCGACAGAGCGGCAGGATTGGGCGGAGGACCAGGACTGGGCACGGCAGTTGTGGTGCTGGAAAAACCAAGCAAGGTCTCATGGAATGGATTCAATTCAAGTGATTCAAGTGAAGGATCACTCAGATCACCTTTTGGACTATGGGGCCGCGGAAATCCATCACCTGTTCACACAGGTCCCTTCAGCCCGGTAGATCACTCCTTGCGGCATGAAAGGGTTTGAGAAACATGAGAACTCCTAAATTGGGTCTTGGAATTAAGAGCTTGTCTCCCCTGCAACCAAGGGGTTGTGCCTCTATATCATTCTATTTTTCTTCTCCTTCAGACACCCTTCTACCGTGGACCCCCCAGAGGTTCGGTTTGGATCCACACCAGGGTGGGATGATCCGACCCAAAACACCGTAAGGATCGCCGGTGCAGATGGATCCGGTCGCCTTCGAGACCAAAACATACAACCAAGGTAAGAAGAAGAACCACTAACCAGCAGTCACAAGACGGGGTGCTATTCATGGAGGTTAGGGGTGCCCCTGTCACATCCACTCACTGGATGGGACGAACCAAACCACCCAACTCCATGTGACCCCTGGAAGAACCGCCAAATTGTTTGGGGCGGGCAAGGGATCAAAAAAAAAAATGCATCAAAAAACAATAATAATTCAGGGTATCAAGAAAAAACAAAAATGAATCAATAAAAAATAAACGGACCCAAACGAGTGGAGGGAAGCGCAATAGTCCAACTCGAAGCAGTGATCAAAAGAAAAACAAAAACGCATCAAAAAAAACAAAAACTAAATCAACCTACACGGATACCTTGGATGGTCCTGTAGGGCCCTTGGGTCGAGACCAACCTATCCACCACAACGGTCGGCCTCTGCCCTCTGTGTTCGGTTCGAAATTGCCAAGAATTCAAAAGATAAGGTGTTTCAGGTTTTGGAGATTCAAGAGGTCACGGTTGAGAAGCAGGACGCCTACATCTACAAAGATCCAAAGGCCTCGACATCCAGACAGATCTAGTGTAAAGGTGTAGAGTCTAGAGACCCACAAAATCTTGCAGAGGTTCAGATCCAGCTCTTCCAAAATTTTACTGGCGTGCTAGAATGGAATGGCTTTCTGCCCTCTAACCTTTACTACTGTACATTCGGGTGGCTTACAGAAGGGCGGCGCCGCAGCCGCGCACACGGATTCAACTCAACTGCGCACACACATTTTATCGGCACTTGTGCCTCATCTGCGCACACACTTGTTAACTCAGCGTGCGCACACCCCACCATGGGGAGTCAAGTGCGCACACAGGCCCTTTCCCGAATGTTGCTGCGTATTCCAAAATTTACCCTGCGTTGCTCACTTAAAAGGGTAGTCAACTTGGAATAGACACTTCCTTGTCTATTTTTGTTACTCTCCAGTGACTCACCAAGGGGTGAGTCAACTTGGAATGAGCACTTCCTTCTCTAAATTTTACCCCTGCATTGCCCACAAAGGGTGAGTCAACTTGGAAGGGCAACATCCTTCTCTAAATTTTTCCCCTGCATGGCCCACAAAAGGGTGAGTCAAGTTGAAATGGCAACATCTTTCTCTAAATTTTACCCTCCAGTGGCTCACCAAAGGGTGAGTCAACTTGGAATGACCTCTTCCTTTTCTAAATTTTACCCTGCCCACAAAAGGGTGAGTCAAGTTGAAATGGCAACATCCTTCTCTAATTTTTAGCCTCGGGTGGCTCACTAAAGGTGAGTCAACTTGGAAGGGCCACATCCTTCTCTAAATTTTGCCCCTGCATGGCCCACAAAAAGTTGAAATGGCAACATCCTTCTCTAATTTTTAACCTCGGGTGGCTCACAAAAGGGTGAGTCAACTTGGAAGGGCCACATCCTTCTCTAAATTTTACCCCGGCGTGGCCGACAAAAGGGTGAGTCAACTCGGCATGGCCGCTTCCCTCTCTAAATTTTACCCCTGCATTGGCCACAAAAGGGTGAGTCAAGTTGGAGTGACCACTTCCTTCTCAAAATTTTACCCTGTGCACAAAAGGGTGAGTCAAGTTGAAATGGCAACATCCTTCTCCAAATTTTAGCCTCGGGTGGCGCAACAAAGGGTGAGTCAACTTGCAGCTTTCCTGGCCACTGCAGGCAGCACAGGTCCGTAAGCTGGCCACCTGCAGCAGCACAGTGCTCACAACACTCTGGCCACCTCCAGCAGCACAGCGCTGACGACACTGGCCACTGCAGGCAGCACAGCTCCGTAAGCTGGACATCCAAAGGCCTCGACATCCAGACAGATCTGGAGTGTAGAGGTGTAGAGTCTAGAGACCCACAAAATCTTGCAGAGGTTCAGATCCAGAGGCCGGGGGAACAGAGGACCAAAGGACCAGGGGCCTTACGGTCGCCTCACCTCTTCAAAATTTTACTGGCGTGCTAGAATGGAATGGCTTTCTGCGCTCTAAACTTTACTACTGTACATTCGGGTGGCTCACAGAAGGGCGGCGCCGCATATTTTATCAGCACTTGTGCCTCATCTGCGCGCACACTTGTTTGCACACACCCCATCGGGGGGAATCAAGTGCGCACACAGGCCCTTTCCCGAATGAATGTTGCTGCGTATTCCAAATTTCACCCCTGCATTGCTCACTTAAAAGGGTAGTCAACTTGGAATGGCCACTTCCTTCTCTATTTTTTCCCTCCAATGGCTCACCAAGGGGTGAGTCAACTTGGAATGAGCACTTCCTTCTCTAAAATTTACCCCTGCGTTGCCCACAAAAGGGTGAGTCAAGTTGAAATGGCAACATCCTTCTCTCAATTTTACCCCTGCGTGGCCCACAAAAGGGTGGGTCAACTCGGCATGGCCGCTTCCCTCTCTAAATTTTACCCCTGCATTGGCCACAAAAGGATGAGTCAAGTTGGAGTGACCACTTCCTTCTCATAATTTTACCCTGTGCGCAAAAGGGTGAGTCAAGTTGAAATGGCAACATTCTTCTCCAAATTTTAGCCTCGGGTGGCGCAACAAAGGGTGAGTCAACTTGCAGCTTTCCTGGCCACTGCAGGCAGCACAGGTCCGTAAGCTGGCTCGCTGAGTAGCTGGCCAAATGGGGGATAGAACAGGAGTTCAAAAGTGGTCCTTGTTGTTGTGTGTGTTTTTCGGGAGATGCATCAAAAAATGCATTAACATAGAATACATAGATGCATCAAAAAATGCATTAACATAGAATACATGACAACACTTGCCATTGCAGGCAGCACAGCTCCGCAAGCGGGCCACCTACAAAAGCCATCGAAAACCAAAGGCAAAAGCCACCAAAACCCAAGAGCCACCGAAAGCGAACCTTCCTTCCTGCCTTGCTGCCTTTCTTCCTTCCATCCATCCTTCCTTGCTTCCTTGCTTCCTTCCTTCCTTCCTTCCGTCCTGGCTTCCTTCCTTCCTTCCTTCCTTCCTTCCTTGCCTTCTTGCCTTTCTTTGTTTCTTTTCTTTATTTTTTTATTGATGCATTTATATTTTTTCTTGATGCATTTATATTTTTTTGTTGATGCATTTATATATCTTTTTTGATGCGTCTCCCGTTTGGGGCCGTGATTTCGTTTTGAGATGGACCTGTCATGATCTGCCCATGATCGATGGTCGTCATGGACCCGCTCAGTGAGTGCTCGTACGAGATACGAGTGGATCTATGGTCGTGGTCGTGTCGAAAAAAAGACGTTTCGGAATGGATGCTCACTTTGAGCCTTTGCAAGGTGGTCGCACGAACGCCAGCTCTCTATTTGCCATGACCTCGGTAGTGAATGGTATGTGTAAAACCTAAGCTCAAACACCCCAAATGCGCCTTTTCCACACAACTACCCCTGCGTGACCCTGCTTTTCAGCCGCGTCACCACGTCTCTCCGCGCGCGCGTGCGCACACAAGCGCGCGAATACGCGTGCGCCTCGGGTCATATGGTTTCGTTCTTGCAAGCGCTGTCGCGCCTGGCGGGACGGGATGGCCCTCACCTTCACATCCTCCCCACTTCCCATCCAGTGTCGCAAAACCGACTTTCCGAGCTTCCCGTCCTTCGAAAGACCGTGAGAACCGCTGGAGTGGTGGGTGAAAAAAGAGAACTGGGCCGACCATCGATGGCAGGATCTCTCAAGGTAGACCAACACACCGGAGCATTCTGGTCTTTTTGACGTAAACAGCGAGACCACAGCCACACCCTCTCTACAGCTTCTTGGGCGGAATCAGGAAGAACCCGCTTCCCTCTGCTTCCCTCGGTGGCTCTCCACGTCCAGTCCCACGCCTGTGAGATATCCCGTTGCAGATCGCCCGCCTCAGGAGACCGGCGGAAGCTTTCCGCTCCGGCTCCAAGGGAGGGAAAACCATCTCCGGTTTGACCGGTAGAGGGTGGGTCACTGGGATGTACAAGGTGGTGAAGACCTCAGGGTTTCATTGGACCCCATCGGAGGTTTTCACACCCTGAGGCTTGGTTCACCTTGTTTTTCACCGTCCGCAGCATGAGAAAGCATGCCCCTTTTGCAGCATATCACTTGAAAGGCTTTGCCCGAAAAGCCAAAAATTACTCTACAAACCAAATGGGTTTAGGGTTCCATGTTCCATGTGAGGCAAAGGATCTGAGCCTGAGCTTTCAGGCTTTCTCTCTTTCATCTTCACATGGCCAGCGCCACGTTCGCTCTGCAGCTCCACCGGTCTCCGTCGACCCGTGGTTCGATCGTCGCCGGGCAGGTCCCGGATGCCGGGAGGGTAGACGAGTGTTGCTTCCTTTTGATTCACTGGGATTTGCTTGGATTTTTCACCGTGAACATTCATCAGAGGTGAGTCAGGTGAGGTTTTTTTGCACCAAAATCAACAGATCATCCTAAAGACCAGATTGATCGAACCCCTCAGGCCATCGGATGTAAAATCCTTTTGCTGGTGTTCTTGATGCATCGGATCAGCCCCGCCAGGCGTCCCCGGAACCCTCCCGCTTCCGATCTACCGGTACGAAGCCGGAGGAAGATGCACGGCATCTCCAGTCCTTAGATTTATGACGTATTGTTACTAGTAGCTTCTAGCTATACTAGTAGCCATGCCCTTGGTTACTCTTGTTACGAATATCGGCGAAATCACTTGGCTACGTGCGACGTTCGTAGCATATATTGGGCCCCCGGGCATCCATGTGATCCGAGAAGTACGGCAAGGATTCCGCCACCGCCTGCCGTTGGAGCTTGGTCTTTCGTCTCAAAAAAGCCGACGGATCAGCTGCGGTGAGCGGAAGTCTGGAGTCTGGGGTCATCTCTACTGGTGTCTGGGGTCGAATAGAAGAGGAGGTGTCCGAGCCTTTGGTTGAAGAGGAGGTGTCTCCGTCGGCCTAAGGGAGGGCCCTCCTCACCGATCCGATGGCTGCTTCCACCGAAGTCGTCCGATCGGAGGACTTCACGTCGTGCCATGCACGTCGCGGTGTCATCGCGGTGTCGTCCGAAGCCACCTGGGTGCCACAAGGGCTACTGGAAGGAATCGTCCAATCGAAATTGGGAAAATTCTTGTGGCCTCTGATGTCTACTTCACTCTTCTTTGCGAGCTGCAGCTACAGCCAAACAAATGACCATGCACATTGAATGACAAATGGCATCATCTCTGTGTCCAGTTTGAAGGGGACCATATTCTTTTTGCCAGAAAAGAACACACAAAGAAAATACTCCAAGTCCAAGCTCACTGGAAGACCAGTCAGACTGAATCACCTATCCTATCCTACAGTATCCCCAAATAGATATGGGCACGGTTTCCAATATATATTTTTAGTCTTTAGTGATCCACTTTTCTATCTAATTGGGGGTGGGTCCATCCAAACCCTAGACTTCCAAGACCATTAAAGAAATGGTTGACCTGATGTTTGTAGTGTACAATCCTTAGTTGATTCGGTAAAGCGTATCAATGGTGGTTGGAAGCCTAGGGAATTCATAATCTCACACACACACAATTTCATTGAACGGACACCCGACACCGGCCGGAGCACCAGAAATCCATGGTGCGAAACGAAGGTCGACGTTCGACCGTCTCGGGTCGACCGTCGAGACGGGTGGAGTGAAGAAAGAAGCGATCAACAGACCTCGAATCCGGCCCGAAACATATACCTAAACACGGGCATCGTCACTTCTGCTCGCATGACGTCTCGTCATTCTGATTGCACGAGACTCGTCATGCCGCCGTTCTCTCGGGGCGATCCCGGCAGGAGACCAGTTCTTGCGATCCCACAACGAAGAGGTTTCGAGATGTTTCCAGACATTTGTGCCCCTTTACCACACCTGGTGTTGACGCTAAAGGGATTGTACTGGATGTAAGTCAGCGATCTGAGTCGACGAATGCACGTCTATCCTGGCTGCGACTGCGACCCACCAAGAAGGGCTGAGATGGATTTCGATGCGCGACACGTCCCGAACCGCAAAGGCATCGACACACCAACTCAGGGCGGTTTCGGGTGCCGTCTGCGTGCAAGCCGGACCTCCCCCCAAAACCGACGCTCGTCTGGTTGAAAGGCCCAGGCGGCGCGTCAAAACGGGTCAGGCCTTCATGATTTCCTGCGCCCGGCTCTCGCTCACCGGCTGGGTGAGGAACTCGGCATCATCGTCGATGTCCAGGACCTGGGGTGATGCTGGAAGCCAGCTCGGAGCGGAGAGTGGGTGGAGAAGGTGCTCCTTTGGGGGGGGGCGAAAAAGAATGACAACGCGTGGTGCTGCCATGGGAACTCTTCGCTGGTATCGAACGTGGCAGGTCATTAAATGTATCGAGAGAAACAACTTTGGATCTCTTGGAGAGTTTTCAGTTGTTGATTTGATGCACTTTTTACTCTGGGACCCTCAGCTTCCTGAGCTGAGGATGGAAGAACACTATGGAATCGTGAAAACGCGTGAAAACGGATCTGAAACTCTACTCTGACCGAGAAGAGTCTCTGATGGAAATCGGGCCAAAATTGAAATCACAACCTACTGCCTTGCCAAACTCTTGACAACTGTAGTTCTCCTTCAGAAAACGACATGTAACAAATGCTGAACACAAAGGTCAACAATAGACAAAATGATGGCTTCAGAAACAATCCAAGAATGGTTCAAACCAAACACCGCAATACAAATCGTGAATGACAGAAACGCAGATCAAAAAGGAACCTTGCCTTTGCCCTTTTCGAACTCGCATCAACCCCATCTTGTGTTGAGAAATGCCGGCCCTTCCACTCTGGTTTGACCGGCAGAACCCGAACCCCACAGCGCCATTCCGCTCGCTGGGCGCCTGCATCTGGTGTGCCAGGTCGGCAGTGGAACTCACTGGCCGAAGGCTGGAGCTCCTTTGCACCAAAAACTGGGAGTTGATCTTGGATTTGCTGTCCAGGAGCCGGAAAAACGAACAAATCTTCTCCAGAAGGGGATTCACTCAGATTGGGAATAAACTAAGCATCACCCTTTGGATAAACCGGGCTCTCCCTTTGGATATCTGCCGATCCATAGACACTCCAAAAAGGACAGAGGTGCCGTGACCCACACAGTGACTGACTGGAGTTTCCATATGGTGTTGTGTCTGTTAGACGATGCCGCAATGCCCCTCCCCCGTTTTTCATGTTCCACCGCGGAAGGGGTGTGGGCCCAAGAGGTCCAATGGATAGGTCCTGCAATGGGAAAGCCACGCACATGTTGGTCCACCAAAATAGGGTGTCTGTGCCAAAAGACTGTCAGGTTGTGGACCTTGAAGGGTTTTCGGTGGGATGGTGGTGTTGTAGTAGCAGCAGCGGGCAGTAGAAGTTGAAGTACAAGCATTTAGCAGAGTTAGTTAGCATATTTTGCTCAGTTATGGTAAAAAGTCATTTTGTCAGTCAGTCAGCCAGCCGGTCAGTCAGTCAGTCAGTTAACTAACTATTTACTAGCTAGCTAATTAGTGAAGTAGTGAGGTATTATTGTTACAGCCCATGAAAACGCCAACAAGCAAGGGCATGGAAACCTGAAGGTCTGCAAAACAGCAACACGCGCTGCACGCCTACCTTTCTTTTTCAGTCGCGAGACTGTTACTGTTGGGGCTGAACCATAGGCACAGCAGAATTCTAGACAAGCCCTGGTGCTTTGCGCAGACTGTCTTTCAGTGCTGGGGCAACCGAAAGTCAAAGTCAACCCCCTACCCATTCTGTCCAAGGGCGGCCGGGGCAAAATCAGTCCCACTACAAACCGAGACACAGGCAGCACTTTATCAACATCATGCTCACAAAGACAAGCAATGACAATCATGGCTGGTGGCGCCACAAACTCAACCTACATAGGCCACGGAGTTTGTTTTCTTCATGGGGCTGCAAACAATAAGGCCTGGTCTACAAGTAGAAGTTCGCTTATTGTTACAACCCATGAAGACGCCAACAAGCAAGGGCATGGAAACCTGAAGGTCTGCAAAACAGCAACACGCGCTGCGCGCCAACCCTTCTTTTTCAGTCGCGAGACTGTTACTGTTGGGGCTGAACCATAGGCACAGAAGAATTCTAGACAAGCCCTGGTGCTTTGCACAGACTGTCTTTCAGTGCTGGGGCAACCGAAAGTCAACCCCCCGCTACATCATCCGACAGCCCGGAACACTTCAGCAGGTCAGGAAAACTGACCCTAACACGTTCAGCTCCTATTTCCTGGCACAACTTGAAATCTAATCGCGAAGGTGCATCCGCTATGTTGGAATGCGTGGGTACTCGACAGAAATAAGAAACGATGCCCAACTGTGCCTCGAGGGACAACGCAGAATGGATCATGTTCCTGGCATGTTTGGTCTTCGCCGTGGCAGACACCCAAGCGTGTCGCGCAGCATCATTGTCAATGAAGACTAGCAATAGACAGTCTTCCAACCTGTCAGGCCAGCAGGTCAAAGCAACAAGTAGAGGCATGATCTCTGCTTCGAAGTTCAACTGCTTCGCGGTCTTGGCTTTGCTCCACTTAAGCACGGCGTCTCTTGGCACAGGCTCCCCAAAACAAGCAAGTGGCCCGTCAGCTTTGTCGGTGAGGACGCCACCAACAGAGCACTGCGCCTGCTCATGCACATGCTCGCAAGCTCCGCCCAAAAACAGCAGCATGGTCTTCTTTTCCGTGATGGACACGATCTTTGGAGGCCCATGGAGAACCCTTTGCTTCAGCCATGACAATGCCGCCAGCAGATCCCCACTTACAACCTCATCAAAGCGTGCACGCTCAGCGTGCTGTCCCAAAAGGCTCATGGCCTTCTTAGCGAAGCGACCAAAAATCTGCGAGTCAGCAAAAAGCATGCGGGACCTAAGAGACGTGGCCGCTCTGAAAGAGAGTCTCTGACACCAGCACCGCATCAATGTCGGGAGTCAGTGTTCGATATGGCAAAAATAAATCAGTCCCACTACAAACCGAGACACAGGCACACGAGAACCATCTAGGCACTCCTAGCACTCGAGGCCAGCACACTGCGGGCACATTCGCCGCACTTTATCAACATCATGCTCACAAAGACAAGCAATGACAATCATGGCTGGTGGCGCCACAAACTCAACCTACATAGGCCACGGAGTTTGTTTTCTTCATGGGGCTGCAAACAATAAGGCCTGGTCTACAAGTAGAAGTTCGCGTGAAGTAGTCAGCGAGTGAGTGAGTGGGTGGGTGAGTGAGTTGGTTGGTGGGTTAGTTAGTCAGTCAGTTTAGCTTAGCTTGGGTAGGTGGGTGGGTAGGAAGGTGGGCAGGCAGGCAGGTAGTAGGTAGGTAGGTAGGTAAGTAGGTAGGTAGGTAGGTAAAGTAGGTGAGGCAGGAAAGGAGCGGTAAGGCAAGGCAAGGCAAGGTAAGGTAAGGTCAGGTCAGGTAGGTATAGGTAGTTGGTGGATATCGGTGCGCTGAGTTCATTTTCAAGAGCTCTGAGGCACCGCCTCCAACACTGTGTTTGTTAGGGGCACTTTTAGTACTTGTCAGCAGGGTTCCGGCCACTGTCAGTTCATGAAAGCCATTCGGTTTTGGCCCGATCTTTGGCCTTGCTTAGTCTTGGAACAAGCAATCAGGCAATTTCCAATCAATCGCCTGCAGTCAATCAGGCAATGAGATCATTCATCTGCAAGTTTCACCACGCGCATGACCTTGGTGTTGGCCGCCCTTGGGCACGGGTGTTTCAGGCTTTCAGCAAGCAAAGGTGCACCTCTACATGTGCACAAAGCAGGCCATGGTTGTCCTCGTGGTCGCTTGGAAGCCAGATGCACATTGGAAAAGGAAAGGTTTTAGCCAAATTGCTGCGGCGTTAAGGAACATGAGCTTGCGCGCGGCTGTGGCAGGGAGGCTGCAAACCGTTGAGGTAATGTTTTGTGCGGCAAACCTCCGTTAAAAAAGGTTTGCCTTTTCCGTCTGTATCATTCTCCACGACATATTTCTCGTCTGGTCTGGTGGCGTCACAGACACTGCTCTTGAGCTTTTCTCGCGCGCTGCAACCGCAGGTTTGCCCCAACAGCTGGATGGCTCCAATCAGCGCGGCTCCAAGAGCGTGTCCTCCTCCAGCGGGCGATCAAACACACGCACACACACACAAGGGACAAGTGAACTTGAACAGCAGCCGTTGAATGTGACAAGGTCATGTTGCATAGTGAGCTCGTGCCCCCAGTCGAGCGCTATAGCTATCTTACTATCAGTGTTTGCCTTGGCGGACATGGTGACGCCTGCCAAGCTGAAGAATTCTATTTTCATTCTTGCGTCTTCGACGGTGAGATGCAAGTCAAAAGCAGATGTGGTGATCAGTGCTGGAACACGATGGCCTGGGAAGGCCAGTGCAATTGAGCACGCGTGTGCCGTCATCCAACGCCAAGTGACCCGGCAGGCGCCTGTTTTCATCTCAGAGCTTCGACGATCAAGTCTGCAAAGGCTGGGGGTTACACCTGTGCATCTTTTGTGCACCACCCACCTTCTCGTGAGCTGAACGTGCATCGCACGTGTTTGCCCAGCAGCAAGTTGCCATCAGGGAACTGGAATTGTAGCATGGCAGGTGGAAGTCTTATGGTTGAATGTTCAAGTTCTTTTGGCCAGCTGAGCGATTCCGCATGCAATGAGCCCCTCATCCATCAAGAGTTCTGCAGAGGAGGTTCTTCAGCAGGAGGGTTTGCCAGCTGGTCGACTATTATGTCGAAGTGGGGATCCTGAGAGTCTTCACATTGGGAGTCTGCAGCGCTGGCGCCCGTAGTCTGGGGCTGGGCACTGGGCTTGTGTCTGAGATTTGGGTTCTTCGTCTCTTCACCGAGAATCAAAGTCTTCCCAGGAGTCGCAGATTTCATTCATGGGATAGTTGCTGGCCTGTCAAGCATGGCAGCTTTGAGGCTCTTTGTTCCCCAGATAGCGAACTTTGGTGCTGGTGCTGGGTGCTGTGAGCTGGCTGTGCGTGTGGTGGAGACAGGGGGTGCCTTGCTGCTGGCGTGGTGGAGACAGGGTGCCGGTGCTGGTGCTGGCAGTGCGCGTGGTGGAGACAGGGTGCCGGTGCCGGGTGCTGGTGCTGGGTGCTGTGAGCTGGCTGTGCGTGGAAACAGGGTGCCGGCGCTGGGTGTTGCTGGCTGCGCGCGTGGCGGGGACAGGGCGCCGCCGGTGCTGGGTGCTGGTGCTGGCTGTGCGCGTTGGGGAGTCAGGGTGCTTGGAAAGCTGGCGAACTGCGGGGCAGCTGACTTTTGGAGCCATCGTGTTCCTAAAGGTGTGGATGTGGTTGATGGAGCTTTTCGTGAACATCCGCATGCCTTAGTGAATGGGTGCCAACTGCCGCTTGGGACAGTGAAGCGTGACCAACTACCGCTTTTGACAATGAAGGGTGACCAGCCGCCGCTTCTGACAGTGAAGTGATACCAACCGCCGCTTCTGACAGTGAAGTGTGACAAACCACCGCTTGTAGCAGTGAAGGGTGGCCAACCGCCGCTTCTGACAGTGAAGTGCCAGCAGTCATGGGCCGCATAAACTTATACGCGCAACATGATACGGTGTTGTCGCCGGAATGTTCTTTGTCCATTAGCGCTGTGGGTTTTTACACTCTTCAGGTTCTGTCTTGGCCGATGGCTATGTCAAGGGCTGTTCTGTTTGCGCGCACAAAGTTATAGGCGCAACGTCAGGCTCTCAACCGACCATTGTTTCAGATCATGCTACAAAATCAATAATGGTGCTGGATACTGCTTGGCCTTGGGCAAGTGAAACCTACGGGCTTTGCTGCTTGTGCGCATACTTTTGCGTGCGTAAACCTATATGCACAAAATCATACGGTGTTATCGTTTTACAGATCGTTGCTTCAAGCATGCTACAAAGTCAATGGATACTGCTTGGGCCTGGGGGAGTGGCACTTGCGGACTTTGCTGTTTGCGCGCATACTATTGTGCGCATAAACTTATACGAACAAGATCATACGTGGTTATTCCCCAGATAGCCATATGCATATCTATAGGGTTCTTACTTCAAATAAGAATGAGCTGGCTGTGCGCGCTTTCGAGAGGGTGTTGGTGCTGGTGCTGGTGTTGTGGTCCTGGGTGCTGGCGCTGGTGCTGTGAACTGGCTGAGCACGCGTTTGAGACGGGCGGCGGCGCTGGTCGGGCGCTGGTACCGCTGCCGGCGTTGTCAGCTGGCTATGCGCACTGTCGAGGCAGGGTACCGGTGCTGGTGTCAGCTGGTTGTGCGTGCTGCCCAGCCAGCCGCATGTCAACACGTCGTGGGATTCTGCCTAGCTATCTGGGTCTATGCTGGTTTAATTTTCTTCTCATATTTTTAATCCACTGCGCGACGATCATCGGGCAGAGTGACACCGTGGAATTCGGCTCCGTGACTTTTCTCAACAAGTACACATCGTAGGCGTCCTTTTGACTGAGAGGTTTCCGCTGCAGATTGCTTATCGCCTCCCGCTTGTGCCAGTCTTGAGCGAAGACGTGCCAGGTGTCTGCATAGGCTGTACCGTGATCATTGATCACATGAATGTTTGCACGCGCAGGATCTGACAGACCACCGTGTCAAAGGCGAGAAATGTCAACTTCTCCGACAAGTAGGGCCAGCGGCGCAATGCCAACAGCCACGGGAACACCTGAAATTAGGCAGGCCAGCCAGGCCTTGTTTCCGCGACCAGGCGGTAGGCTGGATGGTTTTAAAGAGTTGGGGATTGGCAACTGGAGTCCCAGTGGATGTCTGTTTGTTTCCACGTTCACATGGAAGGTTTGGTGGCGCCCTTGCTACGACGCTCTTGGCCGCAGGGGGAACGTTCTATGCACACCCATAGCCATTCTTCCAGATTGTCCCTCAACTGGCCAGACCGCGCTTCCAGCGCCACAGCTGGCTTCTTCGCTTCTGCTGCGGACGTAAGGGGTAGATCCCAGCGCTTCTGTAATTTTTGGGCGAGCCCCCAAGCTTTGCAGCTTCTTAGGTTTGGGTGACCTGCATCAAATCCAGCCATCCCTGACCATGAAGCCATAGAGCTTTTGTTGGTGAAAGTCAAAGTCTCAGCAGATTCTCAGCACCGAAACATACCGAACCCATCTGAAAACGATTCAAACGGGATTTGCTTGACGCAGAGTTCAAAACTGTTCCACTCATTGACAAGCAGCGTCGGCACGCACAAAACTGCCCCCCACAACTATTCCCAAGGCCGTTGAACACTCTCTTGTGCACTCAAAGCGTGTCTCATGCTCATATGCTCATATATGCTCATCACGGATGAGAACTCCCCTCAGACCTTCGTAACCCATCCTGGCCCCATCAGACCTTTTGCGGTCTCCTGCGTGGCGCAATGGCACTCTGCAAGTCCTCGCAACAAACGGAACTCGTGGTGCCAGTTGCAGTCGCAACCCACAGGGAATATCGCTGTGGCTGTGGGGAAAGAAACCGCCCACGGGAGGTTGGTGCTGTCTTGGTGTGGTCACCGATCCAGTATGATCCACTAACTATATCCTCTGCAATCCTAGAATTGTTGTTTCTTCTACCCAACACCAATCTTGGGAGGGGTTTGTCTTCTCAACGCATTCCAAAGGTTGACATTTGCACATCAACAAACAGGTGTAATTCCAAGAACAAGGTCACCACCTGACCAAAGCGACACCAGCTGCGCAAAAAAGGCACCCCCGCTTGGGATGCGCCGGAGAGGTCGAGTCGTTTTTGGGTCAGTGTGCTGTAACGATCCCCAAAGAAAAAAGTACCACTGACCGTGCAAGTAAGGTTTCTTGAATCCCCTTCATGCCACATACGCAAGATTTGTGACATCCCTGTGAGGCCTTGACTAGTGTTTAGCTTCCGGCACATGTACTCTGAAAGTGGTACAAACCCAGTGGGGATCCCAAAGTAATCTGCTGGGTCTCGCAGTGTTCCTCCCAGATCCAAGACAAATACGGTCAACAGGACGACCGACTGACCGACCTCTCATCTCTCAGAAGGCACCCCCCTCATCACTCCAAACACCTATCACTCAGTGTCCAGGTGAATTTCCTGCACACAATGAACCTCATTAGACTCACACCCACTTGTCATCCACTCGGATATGTTCAAAGGACTCCCGACAAAATCCCGCTATTGTCCACTCCAATCCGGGAACATCCGGAACGTCTCCCCACACCCCAAACGGTCTCTCCCCCGGAACTGCCCCGGTCTCCTCCTGCGAGGCTGCGTTGTTCCAAAGCCGATCGTCAAACGGCTCCTCCACACGTCGACGGCCCAGGACGGAACTCGAGGGTTTCCTGCTTCCGGGCGACCTTGAGGAGAGAAGGGAGCTTATAAGAGCAAACCAGGTGCGTAGCCATTCACTTCCACCATGATTCTTTCAACCCACAAATCGTGCAAAAGGCAATCTATGATCCACGCAGCCAATGCTTCGTTCAGAGAGTGGAGGCTCATGGGCAACAAGAACCTACGAACGTAACAAAGGGCATTGCTACGAACGGAGCGTTCGGACGCTACGAACACTGCTCCTATAGCATCGCTAGGAACGTGACAAGAACGCTGTGCAGGCGGAGGCCATCGCAAGTAGGTTGGAAGCCATCGCTACGAAGAAGCTCGTGACTGGGCCCATTCGTGCGGACCACCCGAGTCCCACCCCGAGTCGATGTTGCGGAGATCGTCCCAACGACGTGGGCTTTGGTCTCCACTGGTCCCGAAACATGTCTTGAAAGGGAATTGCCACCTGCCTTCGTTGCCCAAAAATCATATCCAACACGGTCTTCTTTCAGCCCGATCATGAGCTGTACCAAGATTTCCGGTGCCAAAGAAATGCGGTCTTTGAGCCCAAGGTGTTCGGTCAAGACACCACACAGAGGGACGTGAGAAGTCTATGACCCACGTCGCCCTGTTTCTCCTGATCATCGCTTCGCCGCCCCTGAAAGACTCGCTGCACTTCGTCATAGACCTGGAGGAAAGGAGAGCAGGATCTAAGGCTCAGCCACTTGGAGTGCGATGTGGTTTTCTTAAGCGAAGAAGCAAAGTGAGCTGGATTGGATTCGAATACCGGTTTGTGGATTGGCTGATTTCAGCTAATTACATATGTCTAATGTGAACAACTGCAGGTTACAAGCGTTATAATGAAATGGTTCTGGTGTCACTCTGTGCAAGTGATCTGCCCAGCGAACAAAGAGGCCCAACTCCCAATTGGATCCAGTACTTGTTTTCTGTCACATCTTCCAGAACACCAAACATAGACGCTATGATGTCACAGTGATCCTATACCTTCTATGGAATCGGCAAATGGCTCAGAATTACCATCCAAACGTTAGGGATGGAAGAACCAACATCGCCATGTTCGCTGCAGGTGCCAGACCTTAAGTCATTTGAGCCGCAACAACCTTCGCGACCACGCCGGAGCCAGGCTGCTCCACGCCACCACAACGCGAAGGCGCCTGAGAGAGGTCCGGGCGCCACTGCTCGGCCTCCGCTCGTGGAAGGTCCAAAAACCGGGAGTTTCCCAAAAGGGGTCGATAGATGGGGATGGAATTGATCCATGGTACGGTGCCGAGACCCAAAACCACATCCCAAGAAAGGGAGAACAGTTTTTCATGTCTTCTACATCACAGTTTTTCTAAAAGGGCTTTAAATCTTTCTGTATGTCAAGTGGATATATATATATATATATTCACACAAATGGGTAGTGAACCCGTGGTTGCTCCGAGTTCCGGCTTCCGAGCCGTCGCTCCTGCACCCCTGCAGGCAACCTCCATTCAATACCTCTGAACACATTCTTGGAAACAAACCATGCGTTCAAATGTGTAGCCTCCACTCATGGACTCCAGCACACAGGTTTCAGTTCTGAACTATAGGGTTTCTTATACATGTCTTTAACAGTGTGTCCGCGCGAGGGGTCTTTACGTTATAGTTTCTTACAGGTCACTCACAAATTTGGATTACACTAGAAACCCATCCTTGTAAGATTGACCCCGATGCAGCACAGCCGAAGCTGGCAAACGGGGTGGTATGTAAAAATTGTGGGGCAAACCTGCATTTGCCTGCCCCCCGATCACCCACGTGCGACACCCCATTTCCCTCCAGCCCTTTTCTGTCACCAAAAGTTTATTTATATCAGCATTCCATCACCGCAGGGGCAGGTAGGTCTCCCTATCTCAAAGGGTTTGAGAAAATCTAGTTACACTAAACTTCCTCTGCTTGGCGGGTCCGCTATATTCGATGTTGACGGGACACGAGTGGACCTCTGAAGACCAACCGCGGTTTCTTGGGCATGTCAGCTTTGATGAAACGGGGCTTGCCCACTGCCACCATTTCTCGAATATCTGCCGTTGCGAGCTTTCCGGCGCGCCCAAAACCTGAAGATCTGCAAACTGCATTCTCCCAAGCAACGGTGGCAGATCCTTCACACGCATACTACCATTACTACCATTAGCCAAAAACTCCTTGATGGCATTGTCGACTTCTGATTTTCTGGTTTCTTTATTTTGCCCACGCGCGCAGCCAAAGCCCTCTGTCTTAAGGCTCCTTCTCCATCCCGTGCCCTGGCCGTGCGGTGCCTCAACTCCCAATCCGGGGTTCCTCCGTGTGCCTGAAAGGAGCGTGCATGGTGTGCGGCCTCCGCCAAGTTCCAGTAGTCTTCGTCCGGCATGTTCCTCAAAGGGTGTTCGATGCCGATGACTCAGATGGCACACACACACACACCCGTTCGCTCTACAAGTAATAGGCTGCTTGCTGGCGAGCTCTTCGAGCTCTCTGAGGCGAGCTCCGAACGACGTTCGCCGAGGCGCAGGGCGAAGTCCAGGGCTCCGAAGAAGCCGCTCTTCAACATCTCGGGCGCCAAGCTGTTCTGCCTCGGACCGCCATCCGCTGCGTTGCGTGACGGACTGCACCGCACGGTCGGACGGTCTTTCTTAGCGCTTTTGGTCCGGTGGGGGGGAGGTTTCGGTGGGTCACCGGTTCATGCTCATGTGTGGGTGGGAAGATGAAGAGCTGTGAAGAGCGGTGGGTCTATGACTGGACACCGTTTTCGAGCTCCGGAAGTGTGAAATTACTGGCCGTGGCGGTTTGAGGAAGAGGTCTTAAGACGACACTTTAAGCATTGGACACAAGTTTAAGGGACACAAGTGACCGGTGGGTCTTAAGGCGACACAAGTTTAAGCATTTGCTTGGCTTTTTGGAGTTCGTTTCGTGTGATGTCCGTCTGTACGTTTGTGTACGTTCGTGTCATCGCTCCAAAATCGTTGCTTTGGTCCCGGCACTTGAACTGTGAGACTCTGAGAGGAAGACCGGAGCCACGAAGGTTCCAAGAAAGGTGGGCAAGGCTGTGACACCAAGCGGTGGGTCATGGCACTAGGATACCTTTCTTTGACCTGCCTGGAAGGTCAAACTATTACATGGTGGATCAGGGCTTCAGATTTTGACACATCCCCACCTTAGAGAGAAGTCACCCCTTAAAGATGTTCCAAGAAAAGGAGCATCTGAGGAATCCAGCTGCCGGCTCGACCGTCGACCCCGGTCCGAGACAGGGTTCCCGGTCCGCCAAAACCACGACGCACACGTCCCCTGTGGTCGGATTTAGACGCAGATTTTGCCGCTTTCGGAGTTAGACGTCTTCCACACATTTTTCGAGTGTTTTACTTGGGTTAAGAACACGGATTCTCTTGTCTACATGTTTGAGCATATTGGGTTAAGATTCTCTTGCCAGTTAACACTTGGATTACAAGGACATTGTTTGACATGGTAAAGAACACAGATTCTCTTGGTGCGCAGGGTACTGCGGATCGACTGTCCCTTCCCTTCCGTGTGGCTGATGGAAGTAGACCCCTGGAGTACGACCTGCGGACGGTGGTGTCTGGCATGAGCCGGTGTATACATTTTGGGTTGGTGTCATGAGCAATCTTGATCTCTTTCCAGGTCTTGGTAGATCTGCTCGGTTTCTTGTTTTCTTACTCCTTGGTCTCCTTCAGGAGAGCTTCAAGTGTCCCAAAGCCAGCTGCTGACCTCTAAAACTAAAACTGGATGAAGAGTTTTCAAAAAATATCAACAACATGCTTTTCAGCACGGACTGGACTCCTTCACCTTCATTTGTGGGAGATGCTACGGAAGGTCGTTCGCGGCAAATGGTGGACTGTTCGGGCTCCGTTCCAGGTGTTGACCCATCCCCATGCGCCTGGCTGCCTTTCTGCGAGGCTGAACCGTGGGGGAAAACCGTGGCCTTCGATCAACCGTGGGGCCTTTCACACCCGTGGGTTCGGGGGGGGGAAAACGTTCGGTTTGGGTCACAGATCCTTTGAGTCATGTACAACTGCCCAGTGCGAGTGAATTTGAAAAGGTTGTTGTGGCGAAGAACATAGAAACACCATCAGAGGTTGTTCTGAACAGCAAAGCTCACCAGCGCCCAATCTTGGAATACACTTTTTTGAAAGCCAAATACAAAGTTCAATGAACAGTACAATGACGTTTTCTTTTGATCCCACATATTGTTCATTCTTATTTACCCTGTCTGAATCGATCGACAATGACTAAGAATAAACATGATTCATTTGTGATGTTGTCCTTGAGAGGGATGCAGCACACAGTGCAGAACCCTTGATAATATAGAGTTTGCTGCAGGGACTACCAGCTTTGGTCAACCCCAAGAGTGAAGCGATCGATTTCCCGCTGGGATTTTTCTGTTTGGTTCAGCAAACAGCGAAGGGTGTGATAGAAAGCTGTGAGGGAAGAGACTCTTTTGACATCGACCTATACATATAGATGTACCTGGATTGAAGAAACGGCGCTTCTCTGCATATGAAGAACCCCCCCATCATCCCACAATCCGTTGCTCTTCCTTTCGGCGGTTCCCACGGAGTGCACTCGACCGAAAACTCTTTGCGTCGGGTGGACCGGCCTAAAGCTCCAGCCGCACATCCAATGGTTGGTACCTCAGTCACTCGACTGTGCAGTGCTTGCGGTAGGGTGGGACACTGAAAATGCGGACCGTGCGGTTGAAAGGAAAGCAGGGCCCGTGCGGCCCACAGCTGGCGAAGTGCACCACGGACCGGACGACTGGGACACCATTGGGGCGGACTGGAGGTGCTTGGGTGTGTTCGCTCGATCATGTTTTGGCACAATAACCATGAGATACATATGATAAAGACCAAGACCTACGCTTGGATGCTTTTGACGATTTTGGTGCCCTTTTTTAACATACAATTAGCAGAATAGATGGCACAAACACCTCAACGCCAAAGCGCAAGCGCTTTTGGTTCTATGGAAGCTGTGCCTCACCTGGAAGATTGACTCGACACGATGCGCCTACGTAACGTAGTGAGACACGATGCGCTGGCATTAAAAAAGACTTTCATATGGCAAGGCCAGGATCCCTTGATTTAAGAAATAGTCGAAAAAACAAGTCAAATTGAGCAGTCACAAAACGTCAAACAAACAACAAACAAAAGTCACAAAACACGTAACAACTAGAAAACAACTCGAAAAACTCCAACAAGAAGTCACATAACAGTCAAAACAAAGTTCAAACAAGTCGGACACAAGCCAAAAAAAGTCAACAAAAAGCAACATTAGAAAACCACTCGAAAAGTCAAACAAAAGTCAAAAAGTCAAACACAAGTAAAAAGAAACACAAAGACCTTGGAAAACATCAACAAAAATCCAGTAAAAGCCGGATCTGGGCCAATTGTCTTTTTTTGACTTTGACTTTGGGCACCGCCTATGTTGCCTTTTTAGTCACTTCTTTTTTAAAGATTAATTCCAGTGTTCATTTTGAGCTTCCAAACTAGAAAGCTTTGGTTTTTGGGGAGGGGCCAAGAGTCCCAGGGAAGCTCATGAAAGCATCGAACATGTGGGCTGAGGCAAGGTTCTATCTATAAAACCTGCGGATTGAATGGCTATAGGGCCTAGATTCAAATCCAATCCCCTTGAAAGCCCTCTTATGAAGTCGCACTTTCCAACATCCGAAAGATGTTTTGGCCTTTGGCGTGTTTTGGCACAGATGCACCAATCGCTAGCGTCACCGACTCTGACACATCGCTAGCGTCACGAAGCTCCTCGAACCGAACAAGGACACCCCTCCGTATACCCTTAGAACTCGTGGAACTCCTAAGGGAATAGGTAATTGTTCTGCAAAAAACACCATGCAATCCATGCTGGGCCACGGAATCCTCGGGACACCGAGTTCCGCCCCCATGCGGAACACGGCAGACCGGGCTCGGTCGGTCTCGTCTGCTCTGGGCGACCCCGACGCCCAGCTCCACGTCGGTGTGCCCCACGGGCTCCGAGAGGAAGGGCGCCAAAAGGAAGTCCACACCTGGTTTTGGGGGCGAGGGACCGTGGGACCGTGGGGCCATCAGACATTAGTATATGATGGTATATGATTAGATATAACTGTTTGGGGGTATACTGTCCTTTTTAGGTATATGGTATATACATCAGACATTTTGGGGTGCTTTAGGTTTGGAAGAGAGAACCCAATCTACTCCTTGATTTAGGGAGCAAGGATTATATCTTGTTGGTGTGGAAATCTGAGCGTCCGCTCAAACTTTGACAGGTCGGCGCTCGTGGTAGGCTCGGGGGTAGCAAATCTGCTCCAAATCTCAATCTGGGACGGTTCCTGGTTGCAGTCTCCCTATTGCTCAAAAACAAGAGTTCACGCTGCTTGCATGGAATGCTTAGCCTGGCACACCCGGCGGTGCGGATCGGCGGCGAGCTCCCACCTCCACGCAACTCCTCCGGCAAAAGGTAGCGCTCCGAGAGGAAGCACAGTCGACCTGGGACGCGCAACAGGTTCGGACCCCATCTGCGCGGATCGGCGGAAAACACGGAATCTGAGTGTCCAACAGGACACCTCCTGTAAGCACAATAATGGATGTTCCCTACCCAAGTTAAAGGGTTTCCCTGCGTGATTTCTGAGTCAGCCAGTTTTTGGAAGAAGATCTTCTGCCACATAAGCCTATATATTACTTTGGTGGAATGTACTGGGGGTTGAAGCATCGAGGCAACGGTATTTATCTTGGTTTTGGATCATGTCGGCTGTTTTTCCTATTGGGCTAACACTCCTTGTTGGTCTCAGCAGGCGTAGGTTCGACTAGCTTCATGCAGCAATCACTTGCTGAATAGAAAACAAGACCATTCACCTTCTATCTGCCTTACCCACCTCCAACAAACTCCTTTCACCAAAACGACTCGGACCCACCACTGCACTGGATGACCAGTTTTTCTCCTTTACCAGCAACCATGCAAAACAAATACTGAGGCACTTAGTGTATGGATGACCATAGCAGTGGGAAGCCTAGAACATCGTTCGATGGGCGTGCGCCGCAACTTGCAAAGTAACTTGAAGGTCGCCAAGCTGTAAAAGCACTGGATATCAATCCAGTTGAACATTTTTTGTATATCAGTGTGATATCAATGGATATCAATGGATTTTGTAAAAACAAAACAACACATTTTGTAAAAAGCATACCCAACTGTCCCTCCCATCCGAAAGAACGAGATCGAACGGCGAACGGGTATCACCCCCAAGGAACCATCGAACGCTTCAACCACTGGATGTGACCATTCCGAGCCCAAAACGATGCGATGAAGGTCACGAGCTCTCGTGAGAAGGGTCAGACGACGGACCCGTCGTTCCAACGGCGAGACGCAAGACGCGAGACGTGAGACGCTCGGCGTAGATGCTGAGATGACTTGTAAGACCTGGTACACGAGGGATGAAATGCCTTTGTCTGCAGATCGCCCAAATGGAGGAGATCCAAAGTGCTTCTATAGCTCAAAACAGTCAGCCAGTGTGCCCTAAAGGATTTCCTATGACTTGGCGCCCCACCCGTTCCGTTCCGCACGAGCACCCGATCCACCGAGACTTCGTCCGGGCGGCCCCGGAAGGAGGGCATCACGCGGCACAAGGCGTCCTGCGCCATGACGCCGGACCTGAGGCGCTTCGACTAAAGACCGCTTGGGGTTCGGTTGGGGATGGTGGTGCCACTTATAGGAGCCTGTGCCACTTGCCAGTGATACCATATATCTTGTCAAGTGTTTGTTTGTTAAAAAGAGTGGGACAACTGCTGCTGCCTTGCTTTTTTGGTTGCGGCTGACAAAAACACACACACACACACACATGTGGGTGCTGGATGTTGGATGTGATCCAAAGGAACAACCGCGTTCACATGATGACACGCCTCTGGGAATCATCGGGGCTTTTTCCTTTCATGACCTTTCACTTCAATCAATGCAGATCCCATGACATTCCGTCTAAACCTTTCACAATGACTTTTGCAAGCTCCAACCGAAGCTCATTGGCCCTGAAGCCAGCTCCACTGAAGCTGGCACTCAGTCGGGGGCTTGGCTCGCACCCTTCGAGCGGACCGGTCACCGACCCGGAAAGAACGAAAGGATCTTCGTGCGCCGATGGGCGGTAGATCTTGGCGTTCGCAACACAGTACGCGGAGCAATTGTGTGGAGCTGGAAGCTGAGAACTGGCGACCTTGTCCCACAAACGTGTCCTACAAGAGTGTCCAACAAGAGGGACCACACCCGAAATCAGGTGACTGACTTCAGTCCAGAACGTCTTTGTTTTCCGACTTGGATCGACTTGATCTCTTGCTTGGACCCACTGGGTGGATGAAGGGTATACCCTTTGAACGATACACCAAGTCTCACCAGCAGGCTGGCTATTCTTACTCCCTGCGGAATCGCGTGTTACTAGGGCTGAAACTTGAGGGTGCATGTTGATCTTCCGCAGACTGGTGCGCCTCGTAAGGTAGGTATCCATGATGGACGGGGGTCATTCTGCTTATGACCCTATGAGTCGCACCACATCTACTAAGCGAGCTCGCGCCCAGCCAAGGACTTTTCCCAGCGATCTCGGCTGCCAAGTGACAGGTCGCTACAAAGGCCGCAAAGGATCACTTGCGCCTGGACTACGAGATGGAGTCCCCACGCGGAGGCGCTGTCGCGATCCATTCAGCGAGAGATCCAACATGTTGGGTCAACTCATCTGCCCAGTGAGGAAGTTGACACGACACTTATTGGGCAAAGGTGATAAAGCACGAAGCCATGTAACTTGAGCTAGGTTGATGCTGTTGAAGAGCTGGACACGATGTCTTGGATGCATGGCCAACAGGATCTGTGAGGATGTGAGGGCAACCATATCATCTGTTGTGTGCTTCAACTCTGGCATCCCTCAGCTGGTGCATCATAGTGCACCTCAGCTGACTAAACCATGATTTATCATACCCCCCATAGGTGTAGCCACATCTGACACTCCCTCCCATGCATCATCAGCCGTGACACACCCAAGCATATACTCTCGCCCGTCTCCTCTTAAAGAAAAGAACAGCTCAATTGGCTATAGTGATCCCCAAATAGATAGAAACGACATAGAAATGGTTTCCAATACATTCTTGGTGGGAACCCTCCTTTTCTATCCATTTGAACATCTCTACAAAACAGCACCCTCCAATTGGACCACCACCTTCACCTCCCACCTTCACCGCATTGCTTCTTGCGCATCGCGCGCGCGTCGCGTTGGCACCTGCTCGTGGCGGCTCAAGATCTGTGGCACCACCTCCGCGAGGAGCTCGACGCCTCCGGAGGGTCCGATTCGGTCCGCTCCGGGGGGTGTGAGAGATCGATGGGTGGGAAGAGGTGGGGGGAGAAGGTGATTTCGGCCACGGGTTGACCGGTTTAGGGGCATTCTTTTGGATGGTGAAACAGACTCGTGCGACAAAAGTAGGGAAATGAGGGAATGAACTATCCCTGTAGGCCCCTCTGGATCCATTCCCATATTCCCTACTAAGCACCAGTCAGTAAACAGTCACATCTTCTTTTTTGTGCCAAAAAAGGTATCCAGTTCAGTCGAAAAACAACAACCCAAAAGCAGCGTGGTTTGTGCTGGAAATCATGACGCTCTGTGGAGTGAGTGTTGCTTTTGGCCTCCAATCAAACATCAAGCACGGCAAATACCACCATCGCTCACCTTCCCTCTTTGAATTCATCACATTACCAAGCTCATCCTCACATCGATGATTTGTCTTCACAACATGTTGTGCAGAACTGGCTTGCATTGATAAAAACTCGGACAAGAGTGGTTAGATGAAGATGGGCGAGGTCAAACTGGATTTGTCAGGAAGAACGCTCGATGGTCGACATCCCTGCTATGGTTTCAGTCTTATCAAAGAGGACTTGTCTACACACGGTCTTTTTCGACCCTTATGTAACTTGATAAGTTCTTTCTTTACACAATATATATGGCTTCCACTGACATGGTTGGTGAAACCCCCCCTCTTGGTAGGAACCATCTTTTGCTTTCTTCCCAACACATTGGCTGCCTGACAACCAATACCTGAAGTAGCTCCCAAGGCCACAAAAAGGCACCGGAAGACAGCGGGTTCTTTTTTCCGCTGGCCAAGGCGAGGGATGCCAGTTCAAAGCAGCACTCAAAGGCTTCAGGAGGGCATGCCAGAAACAGATGGAATCAGGTCTACTACAGCTCCAAGGCAGGCCAGAAGTTTGTGGGCCAGCCAGATGTCTTTCACTTCCTCTCCTTTGCACTCTTCGGACGTGAACAGAGTTGCTGAGGATTCTTTCAAGAATCCTTATCCCATGCTCACCTCAGTCGCCACCAGTGACCGAAACGGGTCCGTTTAGCCCGTTTTCATCTCTTGTTCGGTCGCCACCCGCGTTCGCCACCACTGGGCAGGGCATTCTCGGGCGAAGAGAGGTGCAGCAATACAGACATCAACCCCCTCACTGCAAACCTCCTGGCAGAGTCCTGGCACCCGAAAGGAAAGACCAGGTTCTGGTCCGACTCGGTCTGCGGTGGGCCGTGCACCGATTCGCCACCGGCGAGTCAAAGCGTCCAAAGGGACATGTCCGCCGAGAGAGACCTTAACCAAAACGTGCGGCGGCGCGTGGCGGTGCTTTCCTTGTTTTCGCCATTCTCCAAATTATACAAGCATAGGCAGCATAGACCCCAAACAGCTTCAAAACGATTCGCTTAGACCAATATTTGTCCAAATAATCGATTTCTTGGTACGCCAATTCTTCCCTCGAACGAAGATCTTCGCATCACATCATCAGAAGAGCGGGCTGTTGCGGACTTTCCTCAGTGCCCAGAAGGCCCCAATGCGCCGGACTAGGCTGGACGGAGTGTGTGAAGGTTTGGAAACGACATCCAAAAGGCCACAGCAATGAGAACATCTACTCTACCCCTTGGCACCATCTTTTCGTTGGAAATCTGGTTGTCTGACACCCAAAGGGAATACCAACCCCTGGGATATCCCAATTCTTTCGTTATTGGGCCAATGAAACCCTTTAAGACATCACTGTATTGGGTTGTGACTCCTTTCGTTGTCTCCTTTCGTTTGTTCGGCGTCGTGACGATCCGATCCACATCAACAACCCAGGACGACGCTTCACGACACGTGGTCAACGGGAATGGGCTTTCCACAACAACAAAAGCAAACAATCAGGAGCTGATCTACATTTTGCACCAGGTTGAAGGTGTCTGAATCCTCAAAATGTCAGGTGGAACACTTCCAATTTTTCAGCATCCTTTGACATCCTTTTACACACACTTCTCAAATTTTTTTGAGGTTGCCTTGGAACGTCTCACACCGCCGTTCACATCACCGACGATGCCATCCGGTCGGGCCGATGGCCGGGCATTGATGTGAGCTGGGACGAGCAAGAGACTCTCGGAACAGCTCCAAACCCCTTCAGAGCTTGGAAGAGCGAAGGTGGTCCAACATCTGAGATCGGATGGCATCGGCTGGAATGGTCCAAGTGTCAGTACACATCTTCCTGAAAAAAACACACACCCACAAAACGAGAACCCCAACCTCAGGCCGGCGAACTGCTCCGTCCCCACCACACGGATGGAAGCGGCTGGACGGCGCTCAAAGGGTCCTCTGAGGATGATGCGTCCAGGAGCTGCACCACCTTCGGCTGCACGAAACGCGCGCGGTCCGGGACAGCCGGCCAGTCGGATGGGATGGGAAGCTTTGGCTCTGTCGGATGCTCAACCCCCTCCAGCTCTGGCCCGGCGGAATTGTTGCAAGGGACCCTTGAATAACTTCCCCTCACACAAGGTCGTGACAGGGGGGGGGCCCCGGGCTTTTCAGGACCAACAGGAACGACCCTGTGGACTTGAAGGCTCATTCGTCTTCCAACCGCACCAGTGAGAGCCTGTCCTCCTCCGCTTGGGAAGGCTGAACTTGGCCAAACTACCTTCGTCGGTTTGCTTCTGGGAACGGAAGGAACCGTGTTCCCAAACGAACGACGTTGCTCCGCATGGAAAACGAAGCGCGTGCCTCCAAGCTCCCGTATTGCGCGGCCAAATGTATAGCACAGGTCCCGTCCATGGCCTTCAGGTTGGCATCAGCGCCCGACCTGGCAGGGATGGCAACGAAGGAAACAAGAAAGGAAGTTCACCCACCAGCCACAGAATTCTTGAGCAAAACCATGTGCAGGAAACAACATGCAAACGAGACCCATTAGCATCATTAGCCAAAACCTGGCGACCTTTTCCAGTCACAGCCCTGTTGACGAGAGCCTTGCACACCATCCAACAAACCCAATCAACACCCCAGCACGGGCGTACCCACACCAAAAAACACCGCCCGCCATACCCGCGCCCCGCGCCATCGGAAAACGCCGGCCTGAGCAGGAGCTTCACGATCTTCGCCAAGCTCATCGAAGCTGCCAAATGAAGCGCCGAACGGCCTTCCTGACCACATCTGTGGGTGCCAAAACGGACTGTGCGTGTGCAGTCCATAGACATGGGTGTTGACATTGTCAATGGGGAACGGTTTGAAGTGCTGGACCAAGGTCACTGAACAGTTACAACTCTTGGAAATCCACCAGGCACATGTATGCTTTGGCATTTGGTATGGGGAGCCAGTGGTCTCTAAGACTGCCTTGTGGCCATTCATCCACCCGACCGTACAGGTCTAGTTCACCCGACCCAGGTCCGAACCTGGTCCTGAACACCAGACAGTTGAGTCGTAGTTGGTGTTTGATCAAACTACTTTAACCAGGTATTTTGTGCTGCTAAAGGGTGTTTGACCTGTTGTGCCTGAAGCGACAGAGCAAGTATTTTGTGTTGTAAGTCATCCTTTTGAGTTGGACTTCGACTCTCCCCCTCAAAAGCTGTCATAAACAGGCATGTACCAGGACCTTCCCAGTAACCTCTTCAGGTTCAAGACCTGTTTATCCCAGGTTCGGCCACTGGGAAGGTCCCAGGAGACTGGCATTTTCTTTTCTCCGGGGAACCGATCCCCCCCAGCAGCATGGGCCACCAGGACTTCACAATCGGACCCTGGTCGTTCCGCCTTGCAGCACTGGTTGACCTCTGCCCGAGCGGACAACCTTGGAGCAGCTCCAACTGCGAAGACCTTTTCCCGAGTGGGTAGCGAAGGGTTCTCGTTCAACTGTGGGGGTTTGGGGGTAGAGCCTTGTTCGCGACTCGTTGTCTGAGCGTTCGCAACCGTTGTCTTCCGTCGGCACCGGTTCCCGGTAGGGCGCTATGGCGCTCACATTGGGTGAAGCTTTTGGAGAGAGCTTTGAGTGGAAGCATGACGTGTCAGATTCGTGTGTGAAATAACGATGAAACGTGGAAACGTGAGGGAAGTGTGGATGATGATTTCACTGCGCAGGCGCAGCGTTTTGTGAGATGGGCAGTTTTCTTCGCAGTCGCATTGGGATTGGTGTTTGGAGGGTGGTTCTGTGTTTTCGTGACAAGTCTCAGCAAAAACTGCGTTTTTTGTTGGAGGTGTGTTGTGAGTTGTGGTGGAGGTGAAGGTCGCTGTGACATTGGGATTGGCGTGTGAGCGGGCGGAGTGCGCAACGCCTCCCCCGCAATGCGAACAAAGTATAGAAAGTATATTTGGTGTTTGGTCGGTTACCTCTTTTGTTGCTTCATTCATACTTCGCCCAATGTGAAAGCGCACAGCGTCACAAACGGTGGCAGCTCCCAAAAGGTATGCTACGGCGGAATGGCTTTTTCTTGCGCTAAACGACAAAGGTCGGGTGCGTTCATGCAACCAGGCAGCCAGGACATTGGCCACCTCCCCAATGTGGGAAAAGCAAGAACCATAGTGATTCTGATGCTAATAGAAGTAGTGGTCACGCAAGTTTCTGACGGCTGGACGTGCGCTGCTTCTTTTCCGCAGGCTTCCGTTCCAGAGCTTGCGTCATCAGCATCACAAGCTCTGTAATATCAACAAAAGTTGCGATGTCAATGAAACCAATTATCTTCAGTAACATGATCAGCATCCTGTCAGACACTCTTCCATATCCCTTCGACAAAGTTCCATCAACTCGAAGACCATAAGAGACATTCAAGCCAAAAACAAATGAAAAGAGGTGAGAAAAGGCCTCTCTTCCCATTCGTCTCCACCCTGCATTCCAGTCTTCTCGGCTTGAAGTGTGAGTTTTTGAGGAAGTCTCGTGCGAAACGCTCATTTTGGAGACTTGACGAGTGAATTTCATACATACAGACAGACAGACAGACACACAGACAGACAAACACAGCGCCCGCAGAACAAACGGTGATCCAGAGCTAGCACCTGCACCAGCGCAGCAGCAGTAGCAAAACGAAAACGCCGATCTAGAGCCAGGTATAGAACCTCTGTAAGCTTGCAGCTATCTGGGGGAAGACCACGTTGGCAGGCTTTCGCGCGTTGTCTGGGTGGAGCCAGCCTTGAGCTGCTCTACGCGGTCTTGCGCGTCGGCTGTTTGGAAGGCGGGCCTCCAGGGCGTCTCCGGCACGACGCGCTCGCGGACCAGCGTCCTGACTTCCTGCAAAACTCATGGGTGTGGAACCTCCAGCAGCAAAAAGAAAGTCTGTGGACACATCACCAGGGCAAGGATTAGGAATATTTGGTAAAGAGAGCGGGACGCTGTGCGAGTGTGTGTTTTCCAGTGTTTTGTTGTTATTTTTGATGTTTTTGAATTGTTTCAAATTCCAATAGGTCTAGCATTGGGCATAGTATTGTAGTCTGTCCTGGATGCTTCCCACAGAAGTTTGGAGCCTTCCAACGTTTGGGAACTTGATGCAACACACCCTGTGATCTGTGGTAATGAAGATGGTAATGCCACTAACCCTGTGACCTGGGGGTTTTGACGCTAATGCTGCTGGCACTGGGAATGCCATTCACCATTGCCGTTTACCCTTGACCTGTGGGCAACGGGAATCCTGCTCGTTTTGCAGACTTGACACAAGAGTGTCTGACAAGAGTCTTCTGCAAGAGTGTCCCGCAAGAGTGTTCGACAAGAGTGTCGGACAAGATTGTCCCACAAGACTGTTTCATAAGAGTTTCCGACAAGAGTGTCCTACAAGAGAGCCCCACGAAAGTGTCCTACAAGAGTGCCCCCCCACACAAGTGAGTGTGTCGCGCAAGAATGTCGCATAAGAGTGTCCCGCAAGAGTGTCCCACAAGAGTGTGGCACACAAGAGTGTCGCTCAAGAGTTTCCCACGAGAGTGTCCTACAAGACTGTGCCACAAGAGTGACATGCAAGAGTGTTGCGCAAGAGTGTCCCACAAGTGTCCTACAACACAAGAGTGAGTGTCATAGTCATAGAAGAGTGTCCCGCAAGGTCCCAAGCCGTGGCTCCCGGCACGCCCCTGGCGGGGGGAGTTTTTATCGGTCCCCCACCGGCCGTGGAAGTAGACGTGGTGCGCGTCGGTGTCGCTGTCGATAAAGCAAGCCTGGCAGAACAAATGCAACCGGTTGGCATCGTAAGAACGCGAGGCATCTCAGCTGCAGCGCCACTGGTGTTCAGGGGTGTGGCGCCCGCTGGGGAGAAGCAGTGTTGAGTAACTAATGCGTCACTGACATCGCTGGGGAAAGCCGTCCCGGAAACATGGCCCGCGCACAGAACTGGACCTACCTTCAATATAGACGAAGCAGGCAATAGAAGACTTGAATTGGATGCTCTGACGCCTGAATTGCAATTGCGACAGGGTGTCTTCATATGCCTTCATCAGTGGAGCATGTTGTTTTTTGGTCCACAATCGCCAGATCAATTTCATTGTTCTGTGGAGTTGGGGGTGGGTGCAGAAGACAACTTAAAGCTACCTCTGGTCAACCCCAACCAGAAACTGCCGCGCGTGCCTACTCGGCAAGGCGTCGTCTTGGTCATCTTTGGCGTCGCTGGCCGGCAGCTCTCTGTCTCTCCAGCATAAAGTTTGAGAGTGGTATGGCTCTCCACGTAAATTTTTTGATTTGTTTGCTTCATGGAGTGGTTTCTTTCTGTGTTTTGGGGTCCTTTGAAGTGGATACAGCTTCAACCACTTCTCAGGAGAGTGTTTGAGAATGCTGTGCACGGTGTCTCCAGCAGTCGGTCTGGTTGAGTGGCCGTCGTGTGACTAGGGCCCGCGGAGGGCAACAGAACAACCAACCCAGCTTGCTGGCTTGAGCCACCAAAGTGCAGGCACAAGTGAGCAACTGCGTGGGTGTGTTTCTGCGTGCACTCGTGCCCGAGCTTTCGAAGAGTAGGCGATGGTTGAAAAAGCGCAGTTGGACTCTTTACTCACTCAAGTACTCGTTGTCCCCACTGACGTCACAGTGCTGTTCCGGAGATTAGGATGGCAATGTTGGTGGGGACTCCTCCTCGCTGTCTTCGCAGCCGCCAGGAGGTCCGCCGCCGTCCTCGTCGTAGGACGGCTCGTGCCGAAAGAGCCTGCCACGGGCCTTTGGCCTCGGGCGAGGCTTCGGCCTTCTCCGAGGCTCTTCTAGGCAGAACGTTGCCGCCGGGCGGGGCCATCTGAGCCCCCTCAGAAACTGACGCGTGCTCACGTCAGCTGCGGCCTGGCCGGGTTTTGAGTCACGTTGTTTTTATTATGCATGTCCTTTTGGCCGTCATCGCCTCTGCAGCTCTGTAGTACAAATGTAGTACGGGAAGCAGCTTCTGGGAGCTGTGGCCCATTTTTATTGGTGTAAGAACTGCGAAGAACTTCCGGGAGTTTCAACATGTCAGAAAATGTCAAAAAGGGTGTTACTTTAATAAAGGTATTATTCTACACTTAGGGAGTATCAAATTGTCTGTCTGGATAACGTCACACCAACTCCAACAGTGCGACTGTTTGGAAGTGGGAGAGGTTGCCGACAGACTGCGAAGCAGCCGCGCAGTTAAGAAGGATGATCGTGTTTCTTCAGAGCCTGTTTGAGCTTGATGGATGGTTGGGGAGTTTTCCTTTCAGAATTCTTGACATGCCTTTCCTCGTCCTATGAGGACCGGCAGGTATTGGGTTATATTATTGGGCCTGCGAAGCCAGGGTCGCTTTTTGGATCGAGCAAAAACCTTCCGTTGCTTGTACTCACTATAAATATGTATATATATATATTATATATTATATATATTATACACACACTATATATATATAATATATAATGTTTGGAGGTGTGGTTGCAAGGGGGCGCGGCGTGGTCTGTTTTTCTGCGGAAAAATACTCTTTGGGCGAGACGCGTCTAATTATATCTTCTTTTCGTCACCTCGGAGAATGCTTGACATTCTGTGCAAACACTCAGGGAACCAGCCCCCCCTAGTCTCATAACCTGCCAACCCCCAACCCCATGCACCCACAACTCACCTCTCCCCAAAGCATCCCCAAAACTATCCCCAAAACCAGGTGACCCCTTCAGCTGTGGCACAGCAATTCCAAGCACGCCATGATGTCTCCCGTGATGTCTCCCGGTCGCACCACCAGCGCCGTGGCGTTCACCACCTTCATCAGCGCCGTCTCGCCGGTGTCATCGCACACGTTGGGGTCCTGGAACCTCGGCGCCGAGGTCCCGCGGCGATGCCATGAATCGCCCGCCGACCGCTACGACCACTCGACCTGGCATATGACTCCAGGTCGCCAAGGGCCAGGGGGTAGTTTGGGCGGCATAGTATGGTCGACAGTAGCATGGAAGTCTCTGGGAAGCGTGCCCTCGGAGCAATCTGTTGTTTTTATGTTGGACCCGCAACATGTCTAGATGTAGACATGTTAAATGAGTCGAGATATAGATATTAAATGGCTCTGGCTCCAAACGCACGGGGCCTTGCGCTCTGGCTCGGGCTCCAAGACTTCGTTTGCATCGGAAGTCATGCGATGTCGTGTCTCGACGGACAGTTGCTCTGGGACGTCATGGGTCTTCTGAGAATTCTGACCTCTGATTACCATGAGCCATGCGCCATGGCATCCCCCTTAGGTCCTATGTGATGTGCTAAATTCCTGATGACTGCCCCTAAAAATGATAGAACCGAGTCACCTGATCCAATCCTCTTGAAAAAGCGCTGAACCTTCAGGTGAATCGAACCATTTGACCACATGAAAAGGGACGGTCCGCAGGGGAGGGCACCAATGTCCTGCATCCCGAACTCTGAGATTTGTCTGGACATTCATTTGAGACAAGCTGACTGAACCTATGTACATCCATGTACTCGACTCCGTACAGGTCTATCCGAAGCTCCCAGGGCCCAGTGGATGATGATGGTGAGGTTGCAGGCCTTTCTCTAAGAATGGTGATTTGATTGTTCACTGACTGTTACAAGAAATAGGACAGACCCAATTTATTCCCATGTTTTTCGGTACTGAACCAACGCATGAATCCCCTGTTTTGCAGTGGAGCAGCTTCCTCAAGATCTCCTGCAGCTCCGGCTCGCTAGCCTCCTGAGGAGGATCCCGGCACGAAGAGGCTGTGGGGGCTTCGAAGGTGCTTGAGCTTGGCTGGATTTGTTCAGAAGTGGCCCAAGATAAAGAGAGCGATTGGTGACTTGCCTCTGTATAGTAGAACACAATTTGTGGCCAATCACGAAAAGTCGTGAATCTTTTTGGTGGAGCACTTCGCTTTAATTTCTGAGCTTTCTTTTCAAGTTCACCTCTTTCACAGGTGGTTGGACAAGGACGTGACCGAGATGTTCGCGCCGTTCCATCCTCTGCTGCCTGCAGCAGCTCATCGCTGTAGCTGTGACAGAAAGGCTGGAAAGCCACTCTTACCTCAACATGCGCAGCTGAAACAATGTCCACCAAAGCATCCACTTGACTTGGATTTGCCGGGGAAAAAAGAACTAGAACATAAATTATGTCCATATATTTCTCATGCCAGGGGATTCCATGCCAATTTGTTCCTTCTAACTTCTAACATCTCAGCTGTTTGAAGAGGAAAGCTCCTATAGGACCATCGGACACGTTCGCTCTTCCGATGGCTACACTGCTGAAGGTAGACGACCAGCTGCCAAAATTTGTCTCCCTCACCATGCCAGGTCGATGTACTCGGCACCAATTTCACCACAACAGGGGCGGTGTGGGTAACTCTGGCCGTGCTCTTTTCCAGAAGACTCACAACTTGACAAACATCCCCAGAAATCTGGCCATCAGAACTCTAAGAACACCCGCGTGAAGCATTCACCAGCGCAGCGCCCCGCCGGAAGCAGCAGAACCCCCTCGTTGCATTTCCCGATCGATCGATTCGCCGCAGGAGGACGAAACCGGCCTCTGGCACCTTCAAGAGCTCCTGGTCCTGATGGAAGACAGCTGGAGACTTCTGGAGAAGAGCTCCTTCAAGAGCTCTTGAAGGGAGACAGCCGGGACTTCAAGACAGCTGATGAAGACATTTCTGTCGAAGATGGGGAAGACAGCTGGAGACTTCTTCTGGAACAGCGACTGAAAACATGGTGATCCAGGGTCTTCTTTTTCCAGCGTCAGGACTTAAGGCAAACATGACGGGGGTGGGCATATATGTGTTTTTTATGGCTGAGAACTAGTGGTCATCAGGGGTCCCACAAACAATGGATACAATATGATACAATATGTTTTTGGAGGCATGTTTGTTTCTGTTGATTCTGAGTGGTGCAGGGACCCAGTGTCTAAGCAAACGAATAAAGCAAAAGGACTGAGAAGCAAATCCAGTCCCAGTCCCAGTTCTCGCAGAGAAGTGACCACGGACTGTTGTGGAAGAGTTCTTTCTAGTGAGGAAGAGATATTATCTTTATACTTTAATATTTCAGTATCAACTCTTGTAAGCAACCGTACAAACTCTGTAGTATCTGGTAGATGACCAAGACGCTCTCCTCTAATTAAGGTGTTTCACGGCAATTATTGTTGAATGCCTACAGCTCTGCTCGCAAGTGGCAGCTGGGCTCCTTCATGCTCCTTCATAGAACAAGTGCACAAAGTACACAAGGAAGCTGGAAACATGTCTTGCTCCTAGTAGCGATGCCCTTTGCTCCTAGTAGCTTCTGGACACATGCCTTTTTTGTCAAAGGATTTGTGAGTCTTCTGCAACTCTCTGTGCTTCTTCAAGTTGCAGTGTTGCTTGACCGATCCTGCATCCATGCTCACGTTGAAGGAACCAAGAACGTAAGAGAACTACTGGACTTGAAGGGTTTTCTATTGGATCCACTGTTTCAATTGGCTTAAGGTACAGGATCTTCTTCCAGTTTCTCAATCAACTCATCTTGAGGCCTTGCCCGTCCACGGCTCTCCTTCCTGCCTGCAGAATACGTTCGCCATCCAAAAGGACTTGACAAAAACGAGTGATTTTGTAGCGGTCCGCGACCTGTGCTTTAAGCTGTAGAACCTCCACTCCTCCGGAGACCATGCCGGTGGTGGTCTTCCAGGTCTCGGGGGACGGAAGGGGACTCTCCGAACGCACCAGTGGCAGTGGATGATGATCAAGGCCTTTCTCTGATCATTGTTTACCAACTAACGGATACAGGCAATACAACAAACCCAACATGAACCAAAAAAACAGAAGTAACCATTACTTGTGATTTCTTCACTTATCTCCTTTGCTTCACCCCACACCAGACCATTGACGCGGAGCACACGACGTGGGACCATTTGTAGGCGACGACGTTTTCAGGAAGAAAGGCGACGACGATGTTGAAATCGACGCGCCAGTCATCTAACAATGTGATCTGCTGGTTGGTGGTTTCAACTCACTTCACAAATATGAGTCAGTGGGCTCAATCATCCCAAGTAAAGGTTGAAAATAACAATATCTGAAACCACCACCCAGCCTGGAAGACTTTTCGGGATCTGAGGGTTCCACACTCTGTCTGTGCCTTTTTTAGCCCATCGTGCGTCAAACTGGCTGCACCGTAACAGAACGGCTCCCCCAAATCAGGTCACCCCAAATGCAGATGTTGGAATGAAAGGCTGTGACGTTGGACGCCCCCCTTCAGAACTGCAGATTCAAATCCCCCCCCAATCGATGCTCCAGAACCAAACGATCCAAGTCCAGCACATAGGCAAAAATTGAAACAACCAACGGGTCCCCCCCAGTGAGTTCATTCGGAGATGTCCACTTTCCATCTGGCCTCATCCCTTCAATCCCACCGGTCCGGTCTCCTTCCTGCACTGAGAACAAGAGCTCCCCAGAGACCGCAGAGCTCACACGGATCTCATCCATGAAATTCGAGTGAATGGACAATTGGAAACCATGGGATTGGAAAGCAGCACCACCCAGTTTGGATGCTTATAGGATGGTAAACACACATATTATATATATAATTGATATCCCAGGGCATGTATTTTCACCCCCCGACCTGCCTGGTGGGTTCAGCGCTCGGGGTCGTGATGCAAATGAGCGATGCTGACAGCGTGACCCGCACTGCTGTGACGCTGTTGTTAACATCTTTCCCACCGTGCTCGACTTTGCTGCGCGAAGGCTGGGCGAAGAAAGCGAAGAATGCTGCACCACGCACCCCCCGGTACTAAGTTGTGGTCCACCGGCACAGGAATGCAGAGCGAGGATGGGGCGAGGAATGCGCAGATGATTCGGGTGATGACCCTGTTGGAAGGGTTGCATTTGCATCTTGACACTCGAAGTAGCGATGTAGTGATCGGAACCTTAATCGGCCAGGAACTTGTACTACTCAATTGATTCCCCCTAGCTTTGAGCTGCTCAAGTGATTGGATTGAGGCAGTTCAGTTACTGATCTCAAGGGTGTCTAGGGTGATGGCCATCCTGTCCCCGCTCTACAGAGCCTGTAAGGGTGGTTTTGGCTCCAAATCAATTTTATGATTTTTTATCCATCCAAACAATAGCAAGTACGGAATGCCATTGGGTCAGAGCTCATGGCACTTCCCTGTAGCCATAGGCAACTCGCTTGTGTTTTCAGATGAAGCTGCAAGACAACAATCTTGTCCTCCCAGAAATTTGCCGAACCTCTTCCACCAACTACATCGAGAAGATTGCTTTTCCTTCCAAACAAAAACCATAGGTTTTGGTGGCTCACGTTCGTCTGCTGGTTGGATACCACAAAGGTAGAGAAACTTAATGCACGAAAGGCATGGTCGAAGACAAAAACGCCATGCATACGATCCATAGGCCTATAGATGCCTGGAGCCTGCCCTATCGGTCAAATGGGTTCTAGTGGCACAGGTCTCAAACACCCCACAGCGGCCAAAGCACCCAGTGGCGCCCATGGCCATCTAATGAACTGATGGAGAGTGGATGAGAGAGGATCTTTTCCGATTTGGAGTGGAGCAGATCTGGAATGAAGCATCCAAGCTGAAGCGCCCCAAGGCTTCAGCACGGTGGACATCCTGGTGGAGGCCTTCATCAAAGATCTGCCCTCTACTCTGCTTTGCCTTTCCATGAAGTCATGAGGGGTCGGACCTCACAAGTCTGCTCTTCAGCTGTACAACCACATTCCACCACTTCCAAGATCAGACACCGCTTCAGCTGTAACACCGGACCCCTTGCCGCGCTGCTTCCCAAAACAAAGTCCACTTCTGCCATGATCTTTGAACGAGCATGGTGTGGTCATTTTTCGCCTCCGTGGCGGCCCTCCTAAGAAAAGATCCGTTTATTTTCCACTGAACAGCAACTGAAACCAGCTGAGAATTGGGCCAAGCGGCTTGTGTCCCAAACCCTCCTGCCGCAATCACGGCTCCCAAGCCTCCGCTCCCAACCCTGGCGCGCCTGCGTGGTGTGCCCAAGGCCCCACGAAGAGGAGGACCTGGTCCGCTGGGTCCGCTGAGGCGACTTGAACAGGCGAAAAAACACACAAGGAGACCCTCACAGAGGTTTTTCGATGACCCGAACGCTCGACTATCCCACTTCGGTACCCCCCCAGGTGTTCCGGGGGCCGATCGTCCCGGTCACGTAGGCTACCTCTCTTGGCCACCGAGGTTCGATGGGTACCTTTCGGGCGCAGGGACCACCGGGCCGTCTCCCGAGCGGGAGTCCGGGCCGTCGGACTGGGGACATCACACCTGAGCACCTGTTGCCAAGGATTAAGAGTAAGAAGCAGTCGATTGATCTTTGAAAGATCTTTTGAGGACGATGTGAGGACGGTCAAGATCGGCCTTCGATTCTTTGACAGCCCTCCAAGGTCCCTCCCCTCCGTCCTTCCAAAGGTCCGTTTCCTCTTTGATGCTTCTCCCAAAACGCGGGGTCTGAAGCTGAACCGTCCATTCTTCCGAAACCGTCACCCGGATGGTGAAACGACGCAAAGAGCAGCCCTGGGATCCGATGACACATGGCTTCTGCGATGGATGGTGATGCAAACAACACACGCAGACTGAAGCATCCGAACATGGCCTAAGATACTCTTTTCATCTCATTTAAAGAACAAAAAAGAACAGTCAAGGCAGGACGTTCTTCGCACGTGCCGGAGTTTTTGGCCCTTTATATGGTACCTCTTCTCTGCGTTGACCAGTCCTGAAAACATCGGAGAATCTAACAAGGTTGAAGGAATAGACACTGATGAACACGACAGTGGATGGGTGTGGTCTTTTTGGAACATGACTTTCTGCTCCAAATCCCCGCAATCCCGGGATTTGTGAGTCCGTCATCTACGGATCTGCCAAGGCTACGCTCCCACGCCTTGGCATCCGCTTCGGCCAAGCCGGCATGCTGCTGCAACGCGCGCCGCGCTTGGTCCTGGTCGTCACCGGTCGTGCCGGTGGTGCGGCGATCGCCACGAAGGTCCCCTTCATTCCAACTAAACACATCTTGAGCATCCCTTACCTAAACAACGGGAGGGGACACTGCCCCCAATGTTGACTGTTGATGAAGAAATCCATATGAAGATGAAATGCACATGTAAGAACAATTGTAGAAGACTCCTAGTAGGGGGTCAATATGTTGATACCATTCTAGAACACTTCAGGGAAAAGGAGGCTCATGTTCATCCGAGCAGACTCCTGGCAGGAGATGACAGTGTCATCCTGCTGGTAGGTTGGAGGCCTTCGCTAATAAGTTGGAGGCCATGGCTAGTAGATTGATTAACCGTCAAGATGACACCATCCGACTGCCGGCACCTTCTGTCGCTTCAAGGCGTCCAGGTCGAGCACCTCTGCCTGGAACAGCAGTGGTCACCCGGTATAACCGGGTCACCTCTAACAAAAACATGACCGACCGACCCGGTTTTGGAGCGTAGACTGACTCCCTAGTGAAAACCATGGTGCTTCGTCTATATGTATATATATATACACGTTAACCCCTTCCCAAACCATCTCAATGTAGACCAATGCGCCAGTCCCATGGAGGTCGTGTCGGGGAATTCGGACGTGGCAAACAGCACCATCACCCAGACCAGCCATGGGACGACCAGCACATCTGCCGCCCCAGAAAGACCGACCCCAATGGTCTTCCACCAAGGACTGGGATCGGTGTTCATAGGTCGAGTCCCATGGATGGTCTGGGTATGTCTGGGTGTTCAGTCATGTTCCCTGCCACGGTATACTATAGTGAGGCCACGGCGGCCACTCTAAGTCTCACACTTCGAAGGGTGACTCATGCAAGTAGGAACAAGTGCATCCCTCTAGTAACAAGTGCCTTACTAGTAGTAACAAGTGCCACGCTAGTAGTAACAAGAAGCTAGTAGTAACAAGTGCCTTACTAGTGGTAACAGGAAGCTATTAGAAACAAGTGCCTCGCTAAGGATTGTGGTCCATCCCACAACGTAGGTCTGAGGCAGTGGGGCAGGAACTGAGTATTGGCTGATGAACATGTGATCGAAGACAACCGACAACCATGAGAAGCCAACCGACAACCAAGAGAAACCCGATAACATGGAAAGGACATGACTGTGCCTGAAAACCACCTAAGTGTGACACAGCTCCCTGTGTTAAACGATGACCAGTACTTAGTGTGTTAAGACCTGAGTTCGATGGATGTTCGCACCAAGTGTTCACACAGATCCATCCGAACACCGCAACACACGGGGGGCCATGGAATCCCAGAGGGGCCATGTTCCTTCTTTGCACTCCAAAGTGTGCGCCTGGCAGCGGGGGAAGAAAGGGGCTCGTTGGTTCGCTCGTTGACTCCTCGTTGTCTTCGCACTCGGGTTTTGACATGTCTCGACCCTCACAACCTCTCACACCTAGGGTTTTTGGACCTCCAATCTGTAGCAACTTCAAGGTCCATGAGCCCCTGGGCTCCGAGCGGGTCTCCCCCCTCCGGAGGAAGCACGGGCCTCGTCTGGATCGCGGCCCCCAGGGTGTTCCAAGGCTTCCAACGGCCGCCACTGGCGATGGACGCGAAGGGGGGCACGTTCGTGGCGCAGCAGTGGATCTGGAGGGTTGTTTTGGGGTCGAAATCCGGCGGAGGAGCGTTCACTTCTGCAGCTTTTGGTTGGAAAGAAACGGGCTCTCTGTGGTCTGAACAGGGGTCTGTTGGACGAGTGATTCTGTGTGTTCACGTGAGACCCACCAAGACTATGGATATAAATCTGGTCTAATTAGTACTGTTATGAGACATGAAAGAAAATGTCTAGTTTGCTGTGGGTTGAGCCCAGCTTCTTTGGTGGCAATGTCGGAAACAAAAAGTAAGCCTCTTGAAAGAATTGATTTGCTCATGGCATGATCGACATGGTAAAGACTGGTCTCCCCTTCTCCCTGTATTGAGAACATCATTTAATAAGCAGACCAGCCAAAAGAGAACTCATTCCATGAATCAGTGAGGGCCTAGACTTCTTTTGCTACTCTCCAGTGCCCGATCTTTCTCGAAACCCATACCCCGTCGGTCGCTTGCGCCTGCAGCAAGCGGTGCTCGCGGCGGAGCTGCCGCGCCGTGGGGACGCTCAGGACGCACAAGCCGCGGCCACGTTGCGTTTCCTCAGCAGTTGCCGTGGTGCTTTCGGTCCTTCTTCGGGCCCAGGAGACTGGATGAACGACGCATTCGGCGACAGTCACGCCGCGGTTTGGAGGAGAAATCTGCAGCTCGCTAGAGGCACGCGATGGCCGGTGTCAGGTCAGAAGAAATTCAGAAAGTGGTACTACTTCTAGATCCAAAGTTATGATCCCAAAGTGGCCAGCAAATACGTGGATCGGTCATGACTCTCAAGCGATCTGCCTATTCTGCTTGGCACGACCAAAAAGATATTTGTTGGCATTTTTTCCACCACAAACCCACAGAATCGCTTCCTAAAACCATCTAAAACCCATGGCGGCCTTTCTTGACCTCCTTCTTCAGCCGGTACCAAATGAAAAGAACAACGTAACGAAGACGCGTAACGACCGCCCCACCCGCTTCCCGCTTCCCGGCGAGCATCGCTGATGTACCGCACTCCGGCGCTCATGAGGTTGAAGCGTCCTGGCGAAGGTTCTCAGGCCGAAGGTTCCAACGTGCCACGCGCGGGCGGCAAAGGGTTGGCCACGTGCCACACGGTTGTCGCGGGGCCGCGCAGCACGGGGGCTCTGAAGGAACCAGGGCGAAGGAAATGAGGGCCCTGGTCGTGTCACCGCGCTTCGGAGAGGATACAGGTCCTTTGGGAAATGGGTGTCCAAGAAAAAGAACTCTTTCGAGCTCATCTACAAAAGCCCGACCTAAGAAGTAGACAAAGTCATGTCGGCAAACAGAAAAAAACAGTTTGCTTATTATTTTGGAATGACCAGCTTCATCTCTCAATACTACAATGCCCCTCAAAGCAATTCGGGTAGACCGGTTTCTTCTCAGGTAGACTTTAGACCGCTCAAGTTTGTCATCGCGACTTTTCGGCCTCTGTGGATATTGTTGTTCTGATGGACACTGTGCAAGCGAAGAACAAATATTGTAATATTCAATATCCTTATAAATATAGAAAGTAGAAAGACTTTTGTACGGGGGAAAGAAACACTCTTCGATTTGTGTAGTTATTAGACTCTTGACACGAGTTCCACAAAGAATGGAATCTAAAAATTCTGAAATCCCTCTAAGAGCTCTCCCCCCACAAAGGATCCTTTTGGTTTGGAATCGCCTTTTGATGGACCAACCTTCGCTAGTTCAGAGTCTTGCGGACCCCCATCAGCTTGAGTTCAGAGAAACGTCTGAATCGCATGACCACTGAAAACAAAGGACACAAGTTGAACTTAGCATCTACCCTCATCCAAGTTGTGCTTTTGGATGTCGACATCCTTCCATCCCTCCAACAATCTGAGAAGGAGGATTTCCGCAAAATGGCCAATGATGATGCCCGACCGAACGGGAAGAAAAGAAGGGTTGGTACCTGCACATTTGGGGTATCCTCTCTCTTAATCAACCAAGGCCTCATTTGAGGCACATCGGTCAGGCCATCTTCATCCCTTGGACCTAGGCCCATGTAACCGCAACACGAGTGACAAAGAAACTGGTCCCAGACAATACCTCCAGAAAGGCGCCTTCAAAAAGACAATACCTCCGGATGGTGTGGATCTTCAGATTAAAGACCTGCACCACGCGTTGTGTGAACCACGCGTTGTGCGCACGCATGGACCATGGGACCTGGACCTGAGTGAGTGGGGAGGAATCCATGCGCGGCTCGAGGGTTGGGGCTCAGCATTGGGCACGATCTACCTGGTTATTTGGATGCAAAGTGCCAAGTCTTTGCGGGAGTTCTTTGTATGGAGTCGATGATATACCTATATATATATATATGGCCTCAAACAACAGTGAAGCCCAGCAAAAAAGGGATTGCCATAGCCAGGAGACAACGGTGTCCCATAGCCCTGTGTGTTGTGGGTCTGTTACTTTTCGCAGCACCTTAATGTAGACTCTTAATAAATAAACATCTGTCATTTGGATTGCACGACGTCTTCATATGGGGGATTTTATTCATCAAGAGTCTACATGAAGGGTCTTTTTCTTCTGTGATAGATATTTGAAGTGGATCCTGTACAAACGTAATCCTTGCATCTGATTAATAACACCTCCCACAGTCATATTCATATGATTCCCTCCATGTATGGAATATATGCCCACATTGACCCCAGAAACCACCCCAATGTAGGTAAATATTCCAAACATGGAGTGTCTGGGATTGTTATACATGTTTGTGCTCCTCTAACCTCCCCTGATACTGACATTCTTGGAAGCCCCGTCGGTGTGGCACACACCAAGCAGAGGTCATCCAAAGCCACCCAGAAGTAATCAAACCACCGCCCACAAGCAAAGGAACTCTCTGGGGACAAAAGCATCCAAGTAAAGATAAAGAATCACCACTTACAACAAGGGAACATTTCCTTTTTCACCGCCTCTCTCCGATCAAAGATCCTGATTTACAGAAACAGTGCACTTTAAAAAACAACTACCTACAATAAAGGAACACTTTGCGGTCCACCTTTCCATCAACACTCATTGCTTAACACAACTACTTTGAAAGAGACCACCTACATCACAAAAACGATGGCACAAAAGACCCTTTGAACAACCTCTTCCAGATTATATACTCTTCTCAAAGATCTTACCTCAAAAGTTGCCGGTGAATTCAGGGGATTTCCCGACCTCGCTTTTGACCAGAAGCGTTCTCGTTTGAGGGAACGAAGAAACCACGGCGAAAAGGCAAGAGTTGCCAAACTCAACAGTTGGGCGGCGGTGCCATGGGCGGTTGGTAACTGACTCACCCGTTCAAGATCAGTTCGTCAGTCGGTTCAACCAAGAGAAAAGGTTGACAATAAACAGGTTTGACACCAGCACCTAGTTGGGCCATCTCAGGGGTCTAGGAAACTCTTCCAAAAGCGCTCCTTCAGCGTCTTGGACGGGTAGCGAGTCGGTCGTTGGGCGGTCGGATGAATCATGCGGTCAATGTGGTTGGCATCAAAAAAGGGATCAGTGCCAGGTATATCCCTGGCACTTTGGATTTTTACATATTGGATTACACTTACATATTGGATTTTTACAAAGGTATAACATTTACATATGGGATTTTTACACTTTGTTGGTCTCCCCGGCACAAAGAGCACCTACCAACCGTTAGGACCGTTCGGGCCTTCGTTCGAGGACGTCACGAATCGTGTGCGTTCCGTCCACCGCTCCCGGTCCAACCGCCCGCGCCAGGCTCATGCGCCGCATCTGCGAGACGGTCTTCCAGAAGCGGTCGCCGATGAAGTCCGAGTCCACGGAGACCATCGTCCAGGGGTCGCGGAGCAAGAGCACCTCGGTGGTTCGCGGCGCGGGTCTCTTCGCAGCGAAGTTCCGAGGCGATGTTCGTGGGGGGGCTCCTGGCATCGCTACCAGGAGCGATCGGACGCTAAGAACAGGAACAAAAGTCTAATATTTAGTTCTAATCGTGTCATGCTCCAAATGGAGCCCTGGTCCTGTGATCAATCCTGTGAAAGGGTTCACTCCACGGCGGTGGTTGCGCCGTGGCGGGTGGGAGCTGCTGAAAGCTCAGCTTCAGCTCAATCCGTGCCCGTGGTTGATGAAATGGTCCTGGAGTTCAAGTGCACTCCCACCTCTTGGTAGAGAAAACGGGTCATCCAAAGGGCCATGATCCACTTCCATGATACTTTCAGGGAGTGTAGTAACTTCCTCCATATCCCAAGGGCCACGATCCCCATATTGGGGAGAAGATGTTGGAGGGGATCTGATGGGTGGATCCCCACCTGATCGAGACAGATCAACTAATCGTTCCCAAAAAGACCCGGACTCAATGTCCTTTTCATTGGCACCTGTTCTTGACGATTTGGCCCAACATCCCCTGCTGGGGATGTTGGGCCCTCACATCCAACATGAACCCATCCAACCCAACGAAGCCGTTGGTTCAGGGGCCTTCTCTTGGCAAACTGCGAACAAGTGACCTTTCCCTGTGGAAGAAACGTTCATATTACGACGACGACACATAGCAACCGATAGGCACTTCAAAGGTGAACCTTCTCCCCTTTCATTCATGTTCGTCAACTCGAAACCTCCCTTCTTTCCAGTGCTCCAGTTCATCCACGGCACCATTGGTATCTGCTTCTCCATGTAGAGCGGAGCTAATGCTTGGTGCGAGTCCAAGCAGTGATAGACATCGGGCTTCCTTGCGGAAGGTGATCGGAAGTGAGGCAAGACTTTTCGGTTTCCGCTTTGATCGTTGATGGATTAGAGTCTTGGGGAATGGGACCATGTGGGAACTCCCTTAAACAATACCCCTGCCAAGAGTCGGGGATCCAGCTGATCAACGCGTCTTTTTGTAGCAAGAACCAAGTCGGGTTCGACTGTTCCCATGGAACCGTGCGGTTCCAACCTTCGTGCTACAGCAGACGACCTGGGTGGATTACCTGTGTGCTCCAGTGGATGACCAGTCCCCAGAGTTCGTTCGACCCACCTGGGCCGAACCGGTGCGACATCCACGTCGGCACCGACCTCCACGAGTTCGGAACGGGGCGAAGGATCGTCTACTGCACCGTCTTCTTGTACGGTTCACCGTCTTCACATCGCCCAAAACCTATGAGAGTAAGAGAGTAAGATGGTATTCCAGTTGCAGCCGGCTTGGGGCACAAGACCATGTTCACTCCCAGTATCTCCCAGTCACCTTTATGAAGGTTTTGTGGACAGTCTAGACCGCTTGGACTCTTCCATGGACGACCCCCAGAATGCCATCGACCTCCGACCAAAAGCAGGTCCTCTACAAGTCTGGTCAACCTCATCCGCCTCACCTCGTACCATTTGCTAGTGTTTTTCTATGAACTCTGAAGGTCAGTACATCGAAGGTCAGTTCCACTCTCGATCTAAACCATGTGACACCGGATGTGACACCATCTTCCTCCAACCAAATACCTCACGCAGCGACGTCTGGACCGGATTACCGCCCCGGACGCGGAGCTGGTCGCGGATCGGCTTTCGGGTGGCGACCCAATCTTTCCGGAAAGATATTGAGTCATTGGGTGCAATGAAGTAAGGTTTTAAGGTCCTTTTTTTGCAGAACATCATCTGAAACCACCACCCAGTCATCTTCATAATTCTTATCTCTTGGGTGATCTGATGGTATACGGGTTGGTATGGTCCGGGGTGGTTGGGGGGCCATGGTCCGGTTCCTTTCGAGTTCTGCCAAGCGACAAAGCCTCCAAGAGCATGGCCAGTGCCTGATTCCAGAGCGAGTAGAAGCGCAGTGCTCGGATTTTGCTCATGGGCTGTGGGAACAAGCTCTCCTGCGCCGGGCTGTCGTCGGTCGTCCAACAAATCGGAGGTTCAAGGCCCAAGGCTCCACCATGGACGGCGGGGATGTTTGAGACGGAGTCCTGGACCTTTTGAACCAGTTGCAGACGCAGACTGGTTGCCCACTTCTAACTCCCGCTACGTCCGGGAGAGTCCAGGAACTGATCTGAACTAGAGGAAGGATGGTTGTTAGGGCCACAAGCACCGCACCCTTCACCCTGAAAGAGGTCAGGTTTTCAGCAGAAACAGGATTTGGGATCGTGAGAACTACCTGGGATTGTCAGGCTTCTCACTGTTCTGGCAGGATTGCTGCGTGAGATCGTTTTGAGAGGATATGAGAGGACGCTGAGAAATGCTAAACTGGGACTGGGTTGGAGGCCATCGCTACTAGGTTGGAGGCCATCGCCACCAGGTTGGAGGCCATTGCTACTAGGGGGAAGGAGCAGGCAAAAGAAAGGTAAGTGGCAAGCGTTTTCCTTCGAAACGGCTCAGACGGACCCAGGCCCGCGGCCACCCCGCAAGGCCACGGCTGAAGCACGCCTGCGTGCGATCGGAGAAGAGCTCGTGGCGCAGGAAGTACCACCTGACATGGACTGCAACGGAGGCGCTGTAGATGGCACGGAAGAATCTCATGGGAAAAAACACGCAAAATACGATGATGAGTTCTACAGTATGTTGGAAGGTCCAAAGGTGCGTGAATATAGGCTGTACTCGCGTTCCTCTTTTTTGGCAGGGGTTTGGCCCATCAATTCATCCATTGTGGTCAAATACTTTCGAGCAGCTGACCGAACAAAGGCATCAACGGTCCTCTGTAATAGAGGGTGCTGAAAACCACCGCCCCGAACCCTAATTGAATGGCTTCAAGAAGTCATATGTACTTGCCAGGAATATCCCGGAATGGTGTGCCCCCTTCCAAAGCCCCAGTTAAGCCCATATTAAGCTCATGAGAGAAGGTTACCCTGAGAGTCCTCCAACATGCAATCATCTTTGTACTGACTTACCATCTATCTACCACCCAATCCTTGCATCTCTGGATTCCTATACAGGCCCGTCGACGTGCCTTCTCTTGGGCCAAAAAGCCTCATGGCGCATGTCAGGATAGCTTTACAGGCCCAATCCCCTTGCGCGGCTGCGTCGCGCCCACCGCACTTGCCCGCAAGCGTCGTCTGCTCTGGCTGCGCATCCTCACGTCGCGCCGCGTACGTCGCTCGTTCGCCGGGCCTCACGTCGTGTTCGATGGGATCCTGCGAGTCGAGGAAGAAGACCTCCACGGTCTGGATCTTCCTGGGCGGGACTCAGCCGAGGATGCGGCGGGTGTTTCAGGTTTCTCCGGATGAAAGTTCGAGCCGTTCCCCCAAGGAGTGGAGAGGGATCTGACCAGGTGACCAGTGTTTCAGAACCGTCACCGCCCCGTCACCAGACGTGACGTCCGTCACCGGACCGTGACGTCCTGCGGAACGGTGCAGGTGGAGGCCGCACCTTCCCAGTGCGGAAAGTGGTTGTGGACTTTTGGAGTCTAAGAGTGATCTTGGTGCTAGTAGTAACAGGTGCCTTACTACTAGTACCATCTCCACGAGGCCAAGGTCGAAAAAGATCTCTCTCGGAGTGCCCGAAGAAATTCGCACCCGCTCAGCCACTGAACTCACATCCAGTGGCCGAAAAGGGCTTCGGCGGATCACCTGCCGCCCTCCCTTTTTCCACACCGTTTTTTTCCCTATGTTTTTTGGCATTTTCTCTTTCACCGCCCAAGCTGCCCATCGACCACGACCGCCAGCTCCGAGTACAACTCCTGAGCCCAAGCCCGCCGACGCCGCGCTGCGGACCGCCGCTGCGCTGCGTCCCGGGTGCATGCGTCCGAGCAAATCAGTGGGCGTCCTCACTGTTCTACGGTAAATCCCCATCTCCAGGAACCGGTGGATGATGGGACCTGGCTGCAGGCCTTTCTCCCCAAAATTCAGTGATAGTCCTTTACCGACTGTTGCTGCTTTACTGGGATCCAGATACATAGAACTGAAAAAATAACATGTCCAGTTTGCACTTGCCTAGTTTATTGAACACGCGATGCCTAGGCATGTGATTGAACACCGCGGCAATTGGGACGAGGGTCCATGACTTTCTAACCATCCCGAAACCGTGCATGCAATAAAAACACACGCAACTTCCAGGTTTAAACCGCAAGCATAGACCAATCGAAGCCAGGTGTATCATTTGTTCAATGCTTTCTGTTTTTACCCGCAACATATTATACCCATGGACATATCCCCTGGAGTCCCTTATTTTTCAGTGCTCCTTTGATACTTAGCTAGTGTATATCAATATCTACCCTTCGTTTCCCAGCAACCTCCGGTCTTCAGTGCTCTACACAGTCCGCGAACCACTCACCACGAACCACTCACCGCCATGAGAACGGGTGGCCTCATCGTCACGAACGAATGAACCAAGAGAGGTTGTTGAACAGCCCGTCTGGTCGCGCGTCCCATATGTACCACAGTGCCACAGACCATCCCCAGGCTGTCGACGCGGTGGAAGCAGCCGAGCGCCAAAAAGCCGAGGCTCTAAGTGTCCGTAGTCCATGTTCAACATGGGATGCACCAAGCTCAAGCTCCCCGCCGGATGCTCCTGGAAACCAGCGGCCCGTTCAACGGCCGCTCACCCTGTCTTGCTACGTGTCACCTCCAACTCCAACGAGGATGGCTACAGGTTTGCTACTATATGCTGCCCTTACAGGTCAAAGACCTCATTTTACTGGAGATGTTCAACTGATCATATAAACACACTACTGAATTGAGGAAAATAACCAGGCTTTACTGGGATCTTTGGACCTATAGGCTGCTACTATTCCAAGCATTCCAAGTGCTTCGGCGATTTCAACACATTCAACAGTTCTTCACAATCAAAGCTTTCAAACGCCAATCTACTGGAACAAGAACATAGCCCCCAGAAAGACCACTTATTCCTTTAAAAACTGTCTTTATAAACATTCGTGTTCCACAAGTCCAGTGGGCTTTGAGGTCTGACGTCGGAACCCCAAGTCGGAACCCATCTTTCATCCATCTGATCATCTCGTACAGGAACTTCAGTGAAACCCTTAGGACGCGTGGTCAGTTCGATTTACAGTCACCCCTCTTCGTCACCGGCTGCTACCAGAAGATGCCAGGACTTCTCTTGCCACAACAATTCTTGCCCCATCGTTTTGGCCGTGACCGGACCGAGGTTGGATGGTGGAAGAAGATTGGAACTTACCCCACCAGGCCAGGGCTTTCAGCCGTCCTGGATGAAGTCTTGAAGGAAGGCACCAGTTTCACCTGGAAACGTCGCAAACGACTTGGACAAAAAAAAGGTGGAAGGGTTCACATCCTGCTTCGGGCCGCTTCGGGCGAAGGGTCAGGGGGTTCAGCGCACCTGCAGCTGGGGTCGAAACCTGTCCAAAAAATCGGCAGATCAGCCGTGTCTTGGAGTCAGCCGATTTCTGCCCGAGTCAGTCAGTCAGCTCGGGAGGCTTTGAAGACTGATGTTTTCGGACCACGTTTAATTGATCGGTGTTGAACAGGATGCACCACATCTGGATTGACCCTATCTAGATTGATCAGTGGACGCCATGTTGTGGCAAAATTGATGGAATTCCTATCCCCCACCCCGGGCTACCAAAAACCGAACGAGGGAACGTTGACAAAACTCATGAACATGTCAATTGGGACATCGCAGGACTGGCGAAAGACTTCAGCACCGGTTCACACTGGTTCACGCGCCCCACCTTGAGGTGGATGTGGTTTTAGAGAATCTCCATGTGGTACAAACGACTGAAGAATACGCTTCAAAGGAGGTCTTTGTGCTCTGAATGGTTTAGCCAGACGAGGCAAAAAATAACTACGACTTACTATATAATCATTTTTGGATGTGCATTGACCCACATTGGCGTTGAACTACGGTTCACTTCTTTCCTGAAAAAGTCCGCCTGTCCTGGAGTCACCTTCCACCCCAACACCCGAAGCGGGCCATGTGAACAAGCAACCGGTGAAGGCGTTGATGTGGCGTTCCGGCACGTGATGTTCGATCGAGGCCAGCAGAACGTGCCGCTTGGGTTCCTCCCAGGGCACATCCGGGTAGGACAAAAAGATGTGCCCTGCATTGGCAGCAGGTCCCACACGGAACCTTTTTTAACTGGAAAAACGCAGATGAGTCTGGCTGTCTGTTTGGGGGAAAAATGCGCAAAGAGCGCGTGCCATCTATGGGATGCATTTTTCGACTCATAACATGGTTTGTGAATCCGGTCTCAATCATGTGGGAGAAAAGTCCAAAAGCAACGTCACTTAGAATGCTTGGCTACCAAAACCCTGCTAACCCAGGATGCCAAAAGCCTACCCAGCACCAATGGCACTGGCAACCCAGCCAGCATGACACACGTTCAAATAGCGGCATGCCTTCAACATTCGCTTCCAAAACAACACTTTGTCGAGCTCTAAAATTACATCATCTTCAGGCACTAAGGCATACGGATGTATTTTGCAAAGCTCCATCAACCACAGCTTTGGAATGAGAGTGCGCGCAGCCATGTTGGCTCCAAAAGTCAACCGCCCCGCAGTTCGCCAGCTTTCCCAGCCCTGTCTCCGCCACGCGCACAGCCAGCGCCAGCACAGGCACCCTGTTTCCACGCGCGCACAGCCAGCTCCCCAGCACCGGTACCCTGTCTCCACCCCGTGCACAGCCACACATCAAGAAGGCATTGTTGTCTGCGTAGATACCCCTCAGGTGGCCGTGTCATCCAGCTTGGTGAAACGCACAAGCTGCTCACACGCGCACTGCCAGCTCACAGCGCCCAGCACCGGCGCCAGCACCCTGTCTCCACCACGCGCACTGCCAGCACCCAGCACCGGCACGCGCACAGCCATCTCACAGCACCCAGCACCAGCACCACAGCCAGCACCAGCGCTCCGGCACCCTGTCTCGAAAGCGCGCGCAGCCAGCTCATTGTTTTTTGGAGTAAGAACCCCATAGCTGTCGCTATGTCGGGAAACATGTAACCGGGCGCCGGCCAGGAAGCCCGTGGCATGCCCGGGGGGCCTTCGGTGGTAACCGAAGGCTATAGACGGTCGGCCCCCCTGCCGCCGACCCTCGTCACCAAAACGGGCGGACCCCCTCGTCACTACCGGGTCACTGAAGTCACTGTAATTTACAGTGTTTTTTGCGTGCGATGTTCAAAAACCTCGTGTTTTACAGGGTTTGGGGGAAGATGGCTCAACATAGGGGCCAACATGGGGCCAACATACGCCAGCCGCCAACATAGGCCTAACATAGGCGAACATAGGCCCAACATAGGCTCAACATGGGCCAAGATGTGCCCAACATAGACCACATGGGCCCAGCTTGGCCCAACCTAGGGCCAAGATGCGCGCCAGATAGCTTAACTTTGCTCAATATACGCCCCACCAAGGCCAACATAGGCGTGACATACGCCCCACAGACTCAAGTGGGCCGGCGCCCGGCTGTTAGGCGTAAGCCTTTAATTAGATAACTTTTATGTATATATATATATATATCGCATTGAAAAGATGAAATGACGTAGAAGCATTTGAGAAACAAGAAACAAGTGCACGCTCACAGCATCCCACCCACTAGACCTTGGAGCAGTTTTGTTTTATTTGAGTCGAAGCACACGAAGCAACAATAGAAGAAAGCTGCGGAATTGGTATCAAAGATCTTGGACAAAACCTTGCGTACTTGGTATGATTTGTCACTTGCTGCAGCCTCCCGCTGGTGGTGCGCTGCCTTGAGCAGTTCATTTTCGGCACCCCCACCGGCTATTATTGGAAGGGCTGGCCTCGACTTCGCATCCGCTGTCCGGCATCTCGTCCTCACCTCAGGTTCGAAAAGCCTGGACTCAGGCCTGTCGGCGAGGTGGCATGGGTTCTGATAGAATCGGAGCTGAGCCAGATCTCCTACAGCCGCTTCTGCAGACGGTGGGGCCGGCGGCTTTCGCCAGCCCCCTGTCTTGTTCAAGAGACCTGGTGCATGCCATGCTGAAATCCGGAAAGAGATACTCAATGTTGATCATCTCAGCGGTTGGATTGCGATCCAAGTCATCGGGAGCTGTTAAACGAACCTTCCAATATCCTCGTACATGTCGAGCGAAGTAACGAGGAATGCGCAGGAAGTGCAGCTGAAACTCCTCCTTTTCCGTGTCAGGATATAGGAGTTTTTGCAGCGCAGCGGTTGGATAGTGGCGCAGGACTGGAAAGATTCCGCTGAATCCGCTCGCACAAAGTGCAATGTGGTTTGATGGTGCGGCAAGGAACGCACTGTGCTGTACTCCACATCTCCAAAACTTGCGCCAAAGCATGAGCCTATGGAAAGAGGCTGTGGATGAAGATGTGCCTTGAAGAGTGCAGTGCCAACACTTGCCGAAGAATTTCTATTTTTGCCACACCTGTGACATCTGTGGATGCAAAATTGAATACCCCTTGGTGATCACGGCCACCACATGCAATCGCCAAATGTAAAGGAATGAGACCCTGGTAATCTGATGGGTTGGGATTGTATGGAGACCCTTAAGGGTTCAGGTTAGGGTTAAGGGTCAAGATATTTTTTTTTACTCTTCTCTTTTTGCCTTTTTTGATTCGCCCAAGATGCAAAAAATCAGACGCAACAAAAACACAGTAAAAAATCAGGGCCGCGGGCAGGGCACGCAAGCTGGATTTGCGAGGTTTTCTGCCCCTCCGTTTTGGACCTAAAGCCTTCTCCCCAATGGACCTGCAGGATTAATCCTGAGTACCTATTCAATTACACCAGCGTAGACCCAGATAGCTAGGCAGAATCCCACGACCTGTTGACATGCGACTGGCTGGAACAAGAATGTACGCAGCCTGCGCAGCCAGCCTACGACACCTCGCACAATCAGCTGACACCAGCACCCGACCAGCGCCGCCGCCCGTCTTAAACGCGCTCAGCCAGCTCACAGCACCAGCACCCAGGACCACAACACCAGCACCAGCACCGACACCCTTTTGAAAGCGCGCAGCCAGCTCATTCTTATTTGCAGTAAGAACCCCATTCTATTTGGGGAATAACAACGTATGATCTTTGCGCGTATAAGCTTATGCGCACAAAGTACGCGCGCAAACAGCAAAGCCCGTAAGTGTCATTGGCCCAAGGCCAAGCAGTATCCAGCGCCACTATTGACTTTGTAGCATGCTTGAAGCAACGATCTGCAGAACGATAAGGCCGTATGATCTTGCGCGTATAAGTCTATGCGCACAAAAGTATGCGCGCAATCGGCAAAGACCGTAGGCTTCACTCGCCCAAGGCCAAGCAGCATCCAGCACGACTATTGTGCGTGTGTAGCATGCTGAAACATGCTGGTACAATGGTCGGTTGAGAGCCTGACGCATAGAACATTATACGTACAAAAGTATGCGCGCAAACAGTACAGCCCTTGACACAGCTGTCGGCCAAAACAGAACCTAAAGGGTGTAAATACCCTAGCGTGCATAAGTTCATGCGGCCCATGACTGCTTGCACTTCATTGTCAGAAGCGGCGCTTGGTCGCCCTTCACTGCTGCAAGCGGCGGTTTGTTACCCTTCACTGTCAGAAGCGGCGGTTGTTATCACTTCACTGTCAGAAGCGGGCACCAGCACCGAGCACAGGCGCGCCAGCACACGGCGCCCAGCACCAGCACCCAGCACCGGTATAGCACCAAGCACCAGCACCCGGCACCCTGTCTCCAGCACGCGCACAGCCAGCACCCAGCAGCGGCGCCCAGTCTCCACCACGCACACTGCCAGCTCACAGCACCGGCACCCCGCTGTCTCTACCATGCGCACTGCCAGCACCCAGCACCGGCACCGCCCGCACCCGGCACCGGCACCCAGCACCGGCACCCTGTTTCCACCGCCCACCAGCACCGGCAACCTGTCTCGAAAGCGCGCAGGCAGCTCATTGTTATTTGAAGTATGAACCCCATAGCTTTGCTGTCTGGACAAAAAAGATCGCCACATATATGCAAGCTACACCACCAGCACCGGCACCCAGCACCAGCACCAGCACCGGCACCCGGCGCCAGCAACCTGTCAACCACGTGCACAGCCAGCTCACAGCACCACCACCAGCACCCGGCACCCAGCGCCAGCACCGGCACCCGCCACAAGCACCAGCAACCTGTCTCCACCACGTGCGCAGCCAGCTTACAGCACGTGCACAGCCAGCTCACAGCACCAGCACCAGCACCGGCACCCGGCAGCACCGGCACCAGCAACCTGTCTCCACCACGTGCACAGCCAGCTCACAGCACCAGCACCAGCACCGGCACCAGCACCCGGCACCCAGCACCAGCAACCTGTCTCGAAAGCGCGCACGGGCAACTCACCATTATTTGAAGTAAGAGCCCCATAGCTTCGCTATCTGGGAAAAAAGTATCCCCAATAAAGAACACCGCGTCCGAAGCCCTAAATTCGGTTTATATTTGTTTTTAAATTACCGCCCTTTCAAGCCGCTACTAAACTACCAACATGGTCGACGCCGCGTTTACACCAGCAGGTTTTCCTTCCTCCAATGGCACGGACTCACGGAAACGCACTTGCCACCGAGGTCGTGCAAAACCGCATGGCACAGCGACATCACCTTTCGAAAGCTTTGGTTGTTAGTCTAATGAAGAATCAGTATTCTAATAAAGGTATTTGTAGGGGAAAAGGAAGACCCTTCGATCTGGAGGTTTTTTGAACTTTTGATACGAGTTTAATAAAGGATTCTATATATTTTTTTACTGGATGACTTTTTGGTTTTGAAGCTCTTTCCAGGTGACCCTATTTTGGACCCCCCCGATTTCAGGGACCCCCTGTTAGAAAAAATGCGACCGAGTTTATCTTATTAGGGGGGGGGGCCGTGTTTTTTAATAGGTGGACAAGATTATCCACGGGGATTGCAACTGTGAGAAGTACCAGCTCCGTCTATGTCCAGGTTCACCCGGATGGGAGCTGCGCCCCAGCCTCTCTGGTTTCAAGACACCCGCTAGGTCACGTCACTTGGGAGTGCTTGAGCTCGCATGCTTGGAATCTGCTGGAATGGCTAATCCCAGAACTGGTGGAACATCTACAGGACACGTGTGCTCCAAACCCTTTGGGGGGGCGTGATGGAAAACACCCGGATGGGAGTCCAAACCAATTCAAGTATAGTCATTCTGTTCTCTTTCGTCCAACTTCTTGGGGTGTTTCACCACCATTTCATCCATAGAACCTTCGAACAACACCCCGACCGGAACGACCGGAACGACAATCGAACGACCGGAACGACGACTCGTCCTCTGGCACCACCACGTGGGATTCGTTTCTCGCCTCAGGAGAGAGCCAGGTGGTGTAGATGTTGCTCAAGGAAAGTATGTCTTTTCTTTTCGTATTTTATTCAATTTTTTCAGCTGTTGATCAGCTGGATTTTGGCCTGAGCATGTGTTTTTCAAATTCTGCCAAGGGGGATGTCATAGGAAGACAAATCACTCACACCGTAGGATAGAGCCCATTTGGGTGGGTGAACACATGCATGTATAAGGAACAATTGCAGCAAACTGGCACTTGCATGTGTCAACCTTCGCTACCTATTTGGAACCCTGCATCCCACGAATGTGGCTTCTTCATGTTCTCCTGGCTAGCCTTGCTCTTCTGGCAGCACCAAAATAAACAGACACCTTGAATAATTCGACCGTAAGCAGGAGTTTTCAGTAGTTTATATACATATATATATATATAGATAGTTAGATATAGGTGGACAATGAACAGCTCAACACCAAAAGGATAAGTTGGCCAAGTACATCTTCGATATTCTGCCTACTTGACAATGATGGATCCTGCCCAGAGAAACCCGGCCTGTGGTCTGCATCTCTCCGGTGATGCCTGAGGTAAGGCTGGAGAGTGTGGTGTGGCATCAGCGCTTGTGGATCTTCCCACTGTCCAAGGGCTTCATGCTTTACTCGTGCGAAAAGGCGTGCAAATTACTGTGATGTTCATCGTATGGAGCCATGGGCAGGATGATCATCCATTCGTTTCCTTGCGAATCGCTGTCACCAAATGTCCAACCACTTGCCATCAATTCCTGCGACCGATGGCAGTGGACAAAAGGAACGACATCCTGTCGACCGAGTCCAAAGAAACAGCGCCGGATCGATCCGCAGCTTCCGGAGCCCCGGTCCACCCAGTCCCAGTCCCATCTGACCGAACACTGTGCGACTCACTCCACCACATCAACTACCCAAAGAGGTGGGGATCGTTCCGTTCCGCGTTCGAACTCCCTACCTCCTCGCGGAAGCCCCGTTTTCCCCGGACCGAAACGTCGCGAGATCGCGCATCCAACGGTGCGTCCGAAGGGATCTCCGGTGGTTTTTTGAAAGATGTTTGGAGGGTCAACGTGGGTCAAGAGTCCAGTCCCAGCAACAGAGGTAAGTCAGAACCTGACATCTATCGACTATCCCAGGTGGGTACCCCAGGTGGGAGGTAGGGGTGACGGGTCCTATGGTTTTGGGTCACTGGACTGGCTACCTCTCTTGGCATAGAGTATTGGGGCTATGGATCTCCAGCATGGCGTGAACCCTGATGATGGTGCGACAACCGCGGATGCTTGGAAAACCTGACGACGAGGGGCGGAATGACTGGTGCAGCCACAAGAGAGAATGACCAAGTCTTCGTCTTGTTCTTTTGTGTCATCTCTCTCGCCCCTCGTCTTTCACCCTTTCACAAATGAACAACCACAAACAGTGTCAGAGTCTCTTCGAAGCCTGGTCTAAACGATGACCTGGGCCACCTGCGTTCCACCCATCCCCTCAAACCGCCTGGGGCCTGATATCAACCCACACGCCGGCTCCACCTTCTTTGACGACGGTTCCACTGACTGGCCCCTGGCCCGGCACCGCGCCTCTCGGACGACGCTGAGGTATAAGCGGCTCCAGGAATGGCACAGGAGCAAAACGACCCACAGAAACGCCCATCCCTCGCGCGAGATGTGGAGGGCGACAACGGTGGAAGAATGAGGGGGACCATGGGGAGGTTTGGTGATTGGACCGCTACCAAATTAGAAAAACAAGCGAATCCTCTTTTGGAGCACAAGGCAACATGTTCGATATCAGCCACCACCCAGAACACGCTGGCTGGTGGATGGTGGAACATCTATGATTCCACGCCGTGGTGTGTACTATAGTGGGGCTTCATCGCTGTGTGAGCTTTGATGGTCTCAAAGGGATAAACTCCAATTCTGGATGACTTTGCCTGTGGATCCAACCCCCCTGATTGACCACTGATCGCCATACGGAGTCCCTGGCTCTGTACAGCATGCGGCCGTACACCCCGAACCGGGGTCACCGGGGTGTTTGGATGTACACCCAGCTTCCGAGACCGGAAGACGACTGCCCATGGACCCTGCAAGGAAGACGACTGTCCTCTACAACCCAGCAGTGTTCAGGTTCGTTGATCTTCCAGGGTGTAGACTACCAAACACCCCGGTGACATGGAATAGAACATCCCTAGTGAACGGAACAGACTACCAAACATGGTCGTTCGCTACCAGGGTGAGTCCGGGGTTCCGGCGCCATGACCCACAGCCAGTTTGCGGCGGAAAAAAACTGAAAATCAAGTGCACTTCGTTCTGCCAAACACTGGGACAGGGTTTCCGACCAAAAACAGTGTCAGCCACCAAAGGTCACCGTGCTGTCTGTCTGCCACCTGATGCTATCAAAATTCACCCCGTTTTCCACGAAGAGGTACAAAGAGGCTGGGAAAATTTGTCTGTCGCACGTGCGAAACCTCCCCGAGATTGGCTAACCAAACACAATCGGAATCCCCCAAAACACACCAGGCAAACGAATGATCCGAATGCGAAGAGGTGCATCTTCGATTCGTCATCAAGGGAACTTCCTGTAAGAATAAGTATATGGACGTTTGCTTGCAACTTCACCCTGAATCAACATAAGACTGCAAGCAAGAGTGTCAGCTGCCCAAAATAGGTGCATCCAAAAGAATTGCAGAGTGGGAGATATGATGAGATATGGCAAAATGAATAAGTTCAACCTAACTTTCATTGATGGCTGTTTGTGTGGACCGGTTGCTGCACAAATAACTGCTTGTGGATACCTGTCACAGGTCCTTATAGGTGTCCAGCCACATACCTTGTTGGGGGATTTGTCCATTCCACCGCCCTTGGGGCGACTTTTACTCTTTTGTTCCTCATTGCTGGGTGGCGCTTAGAGGGCGAAGTAGGGATCCTCCTCAAGATCACTTGTCACGCCTCACAAGAAACGTCTGACCTCATGCCAAATGGCTACAAATCACCAACATCGTCAGTCGTCATCCTCCTAACATCAGTCGAGTCGTCGGGTAGTCCTACGCTTTGGACAAACAAATGCATTTTGTGTACAAGATCTTTGTAAGACTCCCCTTTCAAGAACAGCAAACACCTAATACACTCCGACTCACTAACATGGAAGTGGACCCCCTGTTTGTAACGAAAAATCGTTTTCCAAGGGAACCATCCACTTCCACCATGTGATGTGTTCGTCAGTGTGTTACCCAGTGGGTCAGGGGGCTTGCCGCCAATAGATGTCCTTCCAGTGCCAAGATGCCACGGTGGCCACCACGGTGATCCAGGAGTCATTCTCCGTTGATGCGCAAGCCACGTCATGCCTCAAACGGCACGGTACCGAGGGAGATCAGTCGATGCTTGTTGCTCGAGAACGTGAAACAGTTTCACTTTGACTTTGAGCCAAACCCCTCGATGCCACAAAATCCACTGGACTCATGCGAGTGAGGTTCACTAGGAAAACACTTTCGTACGCCCAAGCAAACCAATTCATCCACCATGGGTTTTAGGGGGACGCAAGATTGTCCCTCCATTGCCATCAAGCAACTCATCCTCCACCACTTCTCGCACCTGCGAGGAAAACGCGGAGGGGATTAGACCGCGCGACGGAACCTCGATGGTGAAACCGACCAACACGGAGCAAACCACCAAGCGATGGACTGTCAAACCCACTAACCGGATGGCAAAACATGTTCCATCCGGTTGGTGGTTTGATTTTTGCCTGGTGGTTTTTCTTTTTTCCCCACATTGTGTTGTGAGTTTTTGTTTATCTTGCTGCATCCTCCGTCCTTCTTCCTTCCTCCCGTCCTCCTCCTCCTCCTCCTCATCATCATCATCATCCATCATCATCTTCATTCAATGACTTCATCATTCATCAGCATCATCATCTTCATCATCTTCATCATCCTCATCAACATCATCATCATCATCATCATCATCATCATCAACAGCACATCAACACACAACACAATGTGGGAAAGACGGCTTCTGTGAGACCTAGGGAGCTCCTCAGGCTCGATCCGTGTGACAGGCGTGGCACTTTCAGTACTCTCATAGAGGTCTGCGGAAGCTTGGCGACGAGCCTGTCCTGTGTGGACGCCGCCACGTTTTGTGTGGCAGGTGCAGCATTTGGAGCTCCCCAGGCTCGATCTGTGTGGCAGGCGTGGCACTTTCAGTACCTTCATGGAGGTCTGTGAAAGCTTGGCGACGAGCCTGTCCTGTGTGGACTCCGCCTCGTTTTATGTGGCAGGTGCAGCATTTGGAGCTCCCCAGACTCGATCTGTCTGGCAGGCGTGGCACTTTCAGTACCTTCATTGAGGCGTGATGCAAAAGCGCTTCAGGCAGTCTCCGAGCACGGAAAAAGCCACCCCATCTGTGGGTAAATCTTTGAACAAACGTTTGGAACCCTTGTTCAAAGCTTGGGGAAAAGCAAGGTCGTGGACCTCAATGTGTTCCAGATCCACTATTTTCCAGACACCTTGACTTTGGCAGTAGCATATGTTCAATGCATGAAAATCTGCGTACCACGCCACGTTGGATTCATAGAACCGTTTCATCACCAGTAACAACTTCACAAAGAGATGCCGTACTTCTTTGCCCGCATCTTCTGCGGGTAGTGTCTCCAAACGTTCCATCACTTGCATCAGCGTAGGTCCCACAAACTCCGACACTTGACAATCTACCTCTTGTACTTGCTGCCAGTTGTCCTGGACCTTCTGAGGGTGTGCGGAGTAGATGATCGGCAGATGTTTGCCGCAAGGCATCTGTGCAACCCTCCATCTGTGCAACCCTCAGGTACCCTTTTCTCTCCTCCACGTGTGGATCTTTGTATTTCTCTATTTCTTGAAACCATTTCAGGACCATCGATAAATCTTCTAATTTGTAGTAATCTCTGGATTGGCCGTGGCTCAAAAATGTAATCCTGTCCTTGACAGTCGTTCCCCCTGTGAACGTCACTTTGACCTCATATGTTTTGCCAGATAGTCCCTTGCACGTGGGGTTGACCTTGGTCCTGAGCTTCCAGGGGCCAGGATAGTACTCGCACGGCACCTCGACAATCCAGACATTCTGCACTGTCAAGCTGCTCGCCATGGTCAAGCACAGAGTAACAGGTCGGTAAAGATATATATATATATATATTCTGATGGTATATTATATAAAGAAATAATGCTAGTTCGCACAGAAAATCAGCAAGTAGCAGCAGATCCGTGCATGTATACTGTCATGAACGTGTGCTTACCGTCGTCAGAAAATCAGCAAGTAGCGTCAGATCCGTGCATGTACGCTGGGCTGTGAGACCCATTACGATCTGCGTGACGACATGTGAGATATAATAGCACATAACTCAACGTTCGCCTAACAGCAGATCTCGACATTATACACCCGTCACGAGATATAGCATCACCCACTCAACCCCCCCTTACATATCTCCACTCATCTGACTCCGCTCGTACTCATCAGTTTATCATCCGTTCCATCACACACCCAACACCTTACATGTCTCCACTTGCCTCAGTCTACTCTCAGTTTATCTTCTTTTTCTTCTTCTTCTTCTTCTGTTTCGATGTGTATTTTTTGGCTCCGCTCTAGTCAGTTCTATCTTCAAAGAGTTGTTATCATGTGGGGTTATCCGGTCCTATAATTGGACTTCAACCCGATGGAACATGTTGCAACTGTAGGGCACCATAGGTCAGCACCGTAGGCCTTGGGGGGTCTTGCCATCCGTAGGGCATAAAGCCATGGAGCTCGTCATTTCAGGTACCAAGCAAACCCAACAAACGAGCTCCATGTTCTTTGGTGTGGTTGAGAAAACACCTCGTGACTGAAGTGGGGTGGTTCTCCTCCTTTTGGAGACCTTCAGGGCTGAGTGACGCAGCGATTTTTGAAGCAAGCTTTTCAATACCGAAGAAGAAACATGTCGTGGCTGTTGATGTGTAGTGTATATCGTGGGATCATGCAGGAGAGTAGAAAGCCAACAAATTCATTATCTATCTGACTGATTCCACCTGAACCTTTTGTGTTTCCGTGGTTTCAGTATGCCGACAGGTGGTTTCAGGAGAGTCAATACTGCTGGTCAGAGCGAATGTTTAGCCCCTAGGTCCTGCTCCAGCAGCGAGTTTGTGAGAGGTGTGAGAGCATGCTTTTCCCTTGCTTTCCTTCTACAAAGCTCATGCGTTTCCAGGTCTATTGTCACCCAACGGGCGTTCCCTGATTCTTCGCCGCCCAGCCTCTTGCTCGGAGCCTGGCCACGACGCTTGGCAGCGGGGCTGCCACGACGTCGTGTCCGTCATGTCCGTCCCCTACCTCGGAGCTGAGCGCGAATCCGCCAAAGCCATGACCGTGCACTCCGACGAGTCCATCCCTGGTCATGCTGCGATCTGGACCACTGCGTCATCTACGATCGATCGACACGCCAGACTTTCTTCAACACCTTTCTGAGCGAACATGTCAAGCTCACACCTTTCTTCTCAAAGTGGAAGGAGCTTGCGAACGACGGGTCATAGTCCGTCACTTAGATGAGGGAAAACGAGTAGAACCCCATAGAACCCCATCAAGTCCAATGATGGTTTCCCCCTTCGTCCGAGCTCAGCTTCTTTTAGCTAACCAGTGGCTCTGGGTGATCGTATACCCCCTCTCACAGCAAGAGTTTTGAGCCCAAGCAATCCAGTATGGAGCCAAACAAGAGAAGCCTCGAAAGTGCTGAAGGTAACTCCCAACTGAACTCCTTAGCTTACTAGCCTTAGCTTTCCTGCTGCGGAATGCAATATTTTCACTTTTGAAGTCACTCCAAGCTGCCACTATCTTTTTTGGGCTGCTGGTCATCACCGGACGCTCAACAACCCTGCGCCTGCTGCACTGCTGTCCTCACAGCGGCCTGGTGTCTGACCCTGGTGCGGCCGGTCTGGCCAGGCCGGTCGTTCGGTGGGTTTGGGGACATCGAGCATCGGAGCATCCAACTGATGGAGTGCTGGGAGGAGGGCGTTGAAGGGATTTGGTACCAGGACCATCTGACCATCTGGGTGTGGCTGGACTACCCTGCACTACTTGGTCTCCAGCCAGGATGATCCAGGTAGGATGATGCAGGTAGGTGTATGTTTTATTTTTCCACATATTCTTGCACGGTCTTTCACCTGACCCTAGAGGTTAGTTTTCCTTAGAGGTTTGGCTCCGCTCTTTTGGAAACCCTTGCAGATTACACCAAACCCGTACAGTAAGGATATGGGCAAGCAATTGAAAATTCATCTATCGGCCACGAAAGCCTCACAATTTACATGTCCATGAATGGTTCCGGGCACTTACAATCAGGTTGTGTCGAACACATCACCCAAGCTCAGAGGATGGCAGTGAATCCATAGGATGTTGCGACCTGTGGTACCAGCCACTCGACTCACACACCCACGCGGAAAAAAACGACTGAACCTGTGCAGCCTATACCTTTTGAGCTTTCAGCCTCATAGGGTATGTTGCTACAAAAAAGAAAGCCCAGTCTTCTACATTCTCTAGAGTAGTAACGTAGTAGTTACGTAATAGAAGTATGTTTTCTACATCTACATCTACATCTGGGTACACATACTGTGGGGTACATCTACATTCTCAGGGTACCAAGGGTTCCTCTGACTCTTTGCGGCACACGCACGACCGCCGTTGGTGACTTCTGATCTGCCAGTGGTTTTCTTGCTCCCCCGCAGGTTTGCGTTCATCAGCCTTCATCTAAGGCTAAGGTTAGTTCTCTATCTCTCTCTCTCTCAACATAAAAGGAGAATGAAGAAATACTTCTCCGGATTGCGTTCTTCTTCCTGACCAGTGGACTTCCATGGAAACCTCCGGTCGCGTTCCTCTGCAGACGGAACATTCATTGGAACACATTGGACCACGATTTCTGCACGATGTTGCATACATGATTCCTGACTCTGGTGGTGTAAACCACTTGCCCATCGTATGTTGGGCCTTCACACGCGACCGACTCCACCCAGACCACTGGCCTCATAGATGGAGCTCGAGGTCAACACCCTCGGTTTTCATGGCGGGTCGAACCGAATCTTCAGCCAAACGAAGCGACACCGGGGGTCGTTGAAGCTGGGCTCCGTGTGGACCGCAGCGCATTGCAGGTGTTCTTGCGGAGTATGTTTCCGCTTGGGCTTCTGTCCCACATCCTCAGAAGGTAGGAGCAAACCCCCCAAACCACCCACCCCAACTACCGAACCAACTTCGGATGTGGGAGCCTTGGAGCCCTAGGGATGACATACATCCGTCATGTCATCGTGAACACGAAAGCACGAAGGGCGCAACCTTCCCCAAGGCCATCGAAAGCCGTTTAAAAATGACGCCCAGTGGTGAAATGGGTCAGATCCCTAGACACAACAGCCTTGAAAACTGGAAGATCATCCTTAGCCTATACTGGATACAAACCTGGAAGATGCATCGCGCCATTAAACGAAGGACATCGCACCACCAAACACGACCTTTGACCATGGTTCGCTTGATGAACACCGGTCCAGCTGTTCTTGGAGGGAAACAAAACCCTCGAACCGAGTTGGAGGGACCCTGTTTGGCTTGCGGAGAAAGACCCTGACCGTGTTTTGGCCTCTGTGGATCTGCCATCGGACCTGGGGTTTGGTGATGTGTTCGACACGACTGATCGTGTTTGGTGCCGTTGTTGGGTCCAGTCGTACCGCAAACCTGAGGTATGGTGGCAAAGGATCCCAATAGAGAGTCCCTCAACAATTCGTGAATGATTCCAACAACTTTCCAAGCAACCCTATCGAAAGATGTGACATGAGCGCCCTATCCACTGTAAAAAAAGGGGCCCATTCCCGGCCACATGGATCGGATGGATCGAATGGATTGGCCCATTCCACGAGGTATTCGTGTTCATCGGCTTCGGCGCTCTGGGCCGTCCCGGCCAGGACGGTGCCAGCTGCACCTCCGCGGCACGACACCGCGAGAGGTCCGGCGTGATCCTCGGGCAGTGGACGGTGGGTGATCGCGGCGGAAGATGGTCTGGCTGAGTCCCTGGGGATCCAATCACCAGACCTGAGAAGGTACTTGGACCCTCCAAACCTACATAACAGTGTTGAACACATCACCTGTGAGGGATCCACCTGCTACTTGCATCCCTAGGGAATGGGTGGTCTGGGGTGGTCTGTTGGTCTTGTGGATCCCTCATAGATCGTTTGCGTTGTGGTACCTTTGACCGCTTGAACGACAGGCCTTCGTTGGGGCTCAAGCTGACATCGGCGTGAAAAGGTGCGTCGAGTCTTAGGAAAGCTCAGTTGTGTTTGCTTGAAGAGGAGACCTCTGCCGGAGAGAAAGATGGCCTGGAAAATACATCGGACTAACCAATCTACGGAGAGGTTTAGAAGGTCTGGAAGATACATCGGACTAACCAATAGTTACTGCAAGACATGTTTTCTTTCTGTTCCATCTCCAAAAAGTGCATCAACTAGCGAATCTGTTCCCAAACTCGTTTGGTCTTCTTCGCCCCTCAGAAACTCTCCTTTTTCTCTCGAAGATAAACACATGCCTCGTTTCTAGCTGAAGTACCAGAGATCGTCCGGTGCAATCCTTCTGCACCAAGCCACCCCAAACTCTTCCGCGGGCCGGACCGACCAGACGCCAGTTTCAAACGCTCGGACGTGCTCCGACCGGTGCAACAAAGACATATTGATGGATTCCAAAAGGAAACAGGAGCACGTTCCATAAGGAAGCAGCAGTTCTTTTGTACTGTGAAATCAGAAATGTTTGTAGGAAACAGCAGTTCCAAAAGGAACAACTGTAAGTTTCTTGTAGTTCCTTTTACAACCAGCAGTTCCAAATCGGTTGGAACGGAGGAACGGACCCCCCAGCGGATGTTCTGACCCGTTCGGCACCGGCTCGTCACCGAGCTCATCGGGAACCGATGCACGTCAGCGCTCGTCCGGTGTCTGTCTATCCGGTCTCCAACTCACGAACCTGAAAACATCCGTCATTATATCTACCCTAAGAATCAAGGACCCGACCCGTTCGGTCAAAGGTGAAGGTTTGGTTCGGGTTCCCAAACGCCCTGCTATGCAGGGTCAAAACCCTCCGTAGGAGGGTCCAATGATTCTTAGGGTATGATTACATGACTACAACCTATTATAACCTATTACTGCTGTTGGATCACACAATCCCGCAAGCTTGCCTCGCAGCCCTTCGTTGGGTTCCAATGTTCTGGCAGTTCGACGTTTTGCGTCAGGAAAAACTTGACCAAGAAGTCCCTCCCCCTAAAAATGAATGACATCGTCCCTCCTCCTTCAGTTTCGGACGTAGTTGTCTCTGTTCGGACGTTGGGAGCGTTTTCAGAGCGCTGAACGGATGTCGAGAACGGAGTTTTCGCACCAACGGGAGCACAGGTACGGTACTCTTCACCGAGCTTCGGTGGGGGAAAGCGGTTTTGTGGTTTCTCCGAGCTTTGAACTTTGTGAAAGAACATCTGTTTCAGACCAGACCAGACGAATGGGACTGGAATAGTTACATACAAAACCCCATTCAATGATCCTCTTGTCCTATGGATGGTCTGGGATCCTTTTTTTTCATGCCCATGCGATCCACTTCCATCTGAGTTAGAGGGCAGCTCTGAACATGCGCACGGTGTCTCCACGGAACCCTACCCGGCACTTACTCAACACCCTCCATCTCAAAGCAAGTTGCGTGTAGTTCAGCAGCAGGTCGTTAAAGAGGATGCAACATCTCGGCACAACCGCAAATGAATTGGTTGGGGGGAAGGAGTTGTTTGCTGCAAGGAGCTGCAAGCCACACAATGACAAGAGGTTGGACTGAACACCTTGAGTCTGAGTAGAAGCTGCAGATCCTAACATTGACTTGATACTGTAGATATTGCTTCGTGTCAACCAGAATGAACCAAACTAGATTTGAGAGTCAGAATCGTTTTGCATCTATCTTGAATCAATCTCCTTCCTATGAATCATTGGATATCCTTTCCATCCGGTCAAGCTTCCTTAACCGGCCATCAATCCTGCTACCCGCGCCCCTGGTTGACCAAGGGGGGATGTGCTGCGCCTAAAGTTCCTAAAGGGATCCCCAAACAACTTACTTCCTCAGTTTCCCTGAAAAGCAAAGGTCGCCTGTATTTGAACCTTTGGCATGTTTTATGGCACAAGGAAAACCAATCCCCCAACATAGGATGAAAGGATCTTCAGAAAGGATGCTGAAACTTTTCCACTGAGTGGGTAGGACACGGACCTCCTGCATGTCTCAGGTATCAAACACTATCCATTTGCTCGTGCTCGCTGTCTGATCAAACCAGTGGTCTCCCAAACTCATTGGAATCGTTCCCCGCAAGAACAAAGCATCAGTCAAGGAGCAAGAGTGGGACCCCAACCTATTCTCTATGACTCTATCCGATGACCAAGCGCACACGCGCACGCATCGCTCCAAGCGCTGTTCAGTGCCCACACGGACACATCGCATCGTCCCATCCCCCAGCGATCTGATTCCATCCAGCTGCGTCTGGGGCTCGGCCGTGGGGATCTGAATCACCGGGCGCCAGCAACCTGGATGGCCCAGAGCGAACTGTTTTGCAAGTGGCGCATGGGTGGAAAACATGTTCGCCCCTGCGGGGTGCGAAGCATCCGAGCTATGAGAGATCCCGCCCTACCCGGTTGTACATGGACCTAGGGCCAGTAGGACTATTTTTTGTTGTATACCTTAGACAACGAGAACCTGAAAAACGTAGGGTGCATGGAAAAACACGAGGTATTGTAGGAAAACCCGAGGTTTGTGAAAATGCACTCCAACCCCAGCTGTCTCCAATGTGGCATTTTTTCCTCAAGTGTGGGCCGGGTTCATCGTCAACCAGTGAGGGCCTCGGACGCATGGAAGTACAGACCAGCGAGGGTCATGCAGCTTCAGTGATGTAGCCCTGTTCCACAAACTTCCTGTATGCACACATCATGTAGCGCTGAATGACACGCTTCGCTACTGGTAGTTTGCTAGTAACTCGTCGTGCCAAGCGAGATGGCCTGCCAATGAAATGATCGTCCGCTTGTGTGGACTGCGTCAGGCAATTCAAGACCTTGCCTCTCTCAGCTTGGGTGTGCATTGAGGCATGATGTGATGCCAACAGTCGCCCAATTCTGTTTTTCCCGAGAGCGTCTGCGAAGGGTTCTTCGTAAAAAACATCTGCAGAACTACGTCTCATCTACATCTTCACATCTTCACCTCTGCACATCCACATTCTCACCTATATATCTCTGCTCATCTTCACATCTACATTCACAACTGCACATCTACATCTCTGCTCATCTTCATCTTCACACGTCTACATCGCTGCTCATGTTCACATCTGCACATCTACATCTCTGCTCATCTTCACATCCTCACATCTACATGTCTGCTCATCTTCACATCCGCACATCTACATCTCACATCTTTACCTCTCATCTACATCTCACAGCTTCACCTCTCGCTCTTCTTAACTTTCTCTCTCAAGGCCGGGGGCAGTGCCGCCGGACCGCCACGAAACGCAACCCTCTGCGGAGATCGTGCGTGTCGGATGCGCGAAATGCAGGCGAGAGTGCGATTTGGTTTTGGCGCGGGCAACCCTCTGCGGAGATCGTGCCGCTGCGGGGATCGTGTCGAGTGCGCGAAATGCAGGCGAGAGTGCGATTTGTCCCGGTCCGGGAAAACCCTCTGCGGGGATCGTGCGTGTCGAGTGCGCGAAATGCAGGCGAGAGTGCGATTTGTCCCGGTCCGGGGCAACCCTCTGCGGAGATCGTGCGAGTAACTGGGGAGCTGGAAGATGAGAACTGGCGACTTTGTAGTACAACTTTA